TATTTGTCCGTACGATCAGCCATTGCGTCATGTGCATGTCGTAAGACATTCAACCTCGTGGCGAACAACTTGATTACCTGTTTCTGAACAGTACTTGGGCTGAAATCAGCAAGTCGATTGGCTATTCATCCCCCACCAAGCTCAGAACGACGTAGTGAAGGCGTCGACAGAAAGCGTGGGTGAGTGTACCATTTACGTAGAATGGAGTAAAGCCAGTAGAGGCATGAAAAGCCTTGTTAAACGCATACTCGACTACAGGGAGCATAGAGCTCCAACGCCCAGGCACATCAGCATAAATCCTGCGCAAAATGTCACCAATGACACGATCGGCACGCTCAGTTTGACCATCGGTCTGCGGATGATCCGCTGTGGACATGTTCAACCTGGTGCCCAGCACCTATGAAAGGGTCTTTAAAAACTTCCAGTGAAACGTGGATAACGATCAGAGACAATTGCCACACGCAAAACATGTTGAAAAATCCCATGGTCGATAAACAGCTTTGCTGTACCTTCGCCATTAATGAAATCAGGCACAGCCGCTAAATAAGCCATCCAGCTCAAGCGGTCATCAAAGACCACCATCCCAGTGTTGCCGTCCGAAACCTTTGGTAGGCCAACCACAAAGTCTGTACTGATGGACTTTCAACACCCAGTAGGTACAGGCAAACTAGCGAGCAGTGCACCGTATGTGCTAAGGATTTAACCCGTTGACACGATTTACACGTACGCACATTACTTGATCACCCACTTGCATAGTTTGGGCCACCAATACGTCCGGCTAACCGAGCTAAAGGTCTTCTCACGACAGAGAAGACCGGATAAAGCAGTGTCGTGTGCCTCAAAGAGGATACGATACTTCAAGTCCTCATCATGAGGAACAGCAATTCTAGTCACATCCTCAACACCCGTGCAGTAGTAGAGCAGCCCACCATCGATAGAATATCGATGTAGGCTTGCGCGTAACGTGCCGACAATCTGATGCCCGATCCTAAGATCTCCTCGCTTCCAAGATCACTGAGCAATGCTACACATTGATCATCACGTGCACATGCCGCGTAAGGTAACTTCACAAAGGATGACGACAGAGTCCTAACATGAGAAAGCTCATAATCAGGTATGTGTGACAACGCATCACCCTAAGCGTTTTGCTTGCCCATCTTATACGTCACCTCAAGTTGCACTTAGCAAAGGATGAAATCCAACGGGCCATACGCTTTGAGAGGCGAGACGACTGTGTTGTAGGGCGTAACGTCACATGGTATGTGAAAAATCACAAAAGGATTTGAGCCAATCAGGTGGAACTTTAACTTGACAAGAGCGTACTTCAGTGCCATTAACTCGTTGTCATGAACTGGATAGTTCTTCTCTGCAGCTATGATTTGACGAGACTCATACGCATTGACGCGCTCATGTCCATCGACACTTATCTGCAATTACGCACAACCAATAGCAAAATCAGGCGCGTCACAGACGACACTGAAGGGCTACTCAGATCAGGCAAAGCCAAAATTGGAGCATGGAGGAGACTATCTTTTTTAGCTTCAAAAGCTTGAGCATGGACTGCGTCTTAGCACCAAGCTGCAACCGTACTGAGGAGGTTAGTTGATGGCCGTGCCATGTCAGCGTATTTTGCACTGTACTTTTGCAAGTAATTAGCAAGACCGAGCCATTTAAGCTAGTCCTTTTGGTTCGACGGAACCGGCCAGTCAACAATTGACTTTACTTTAGCGGGGTCCGCTCGAAAGCCACGCTTGCCAATGAAGCACCCGAGAAAGGATATTTCTTTCGCAACATAATGCATTCCGATGCATATGCATACATCTTGTCCGTGCGCTTGCACTCGAGCACTACTCGTAAGTGGTCAATGTGATTGTCCACATCTAATTTACCATGGTCTACACGGCTATGGACAATGATATCATCGAAATAGCTTTGTGCATATCCTCGGTGACGTCGGAATAATTTCGTCACAAGAAGATTGAACGTTGCCGGGGCATCAGACAGCTCTTGAGGCATGACAAGCCACTCCCGAAGCAACCCGCTTTGAGTACTAGTCGCTGTGAGCGGAATATTGTCTCTCGCATGAGCAAATAATTATGCGCATCAACCAAATCGAGTGCGCTGAACATGGTTCAGCTCACCATAGCTTTCTGAAGAACCACCTTCTAGGAATTGGCATCTGTGCTGGTATAATGACTGTATTAAGCTTATTTAAGCGTGCACAATGTGCGACTTGCCATTTGACTTTCTGACACAAAATGTCGGTGTCCAGTGCAAAGACTTTCTCTCACGCACCATGCCAGCCGCGTACTTTGCACAAAAAAACTCGTCAATGACGTCACACTGCTTCTTTATATAGGGGCCATTTTGTGTCACACGGTACTTAATTCCAGGAATCAGGTCAATTTCATGACGTACGCCCTTATCAGAAGGCAGAGTGGAAGGTGGATCGTGAAAAACCACAAATTGAAATTCCTACACCGAAAGAAAAGACGGTCTTTATGATCTTCCAAGATCGATGACCCACTTAGAGCAATCAGTGCCGTTTATGTGTCTTCCAAGACAGCTTCGTTAAGAAGTGACGACGAGTTTAACTCACTATCGGATCTAATGACCACCACTTCAGGTAAGTCACCTGACTTTAAAGCCAGGTCAAACTCCCCGACTGACGTTTCGTCCAGCTATAACAGATAATTCAGTGCGGGTAGAGTCTCAAGACTCACTGACCCATCAACGCAACCTGTCACTCCATTAACGAGTGTATGTAGCTGCTCGCTAGTATCACTCAGTGACGTAATAGACGCCTTGCGTTGCAAAACAGCAATCTGGTGTCGCTGTTGTCTCTGTGAAGAGACTGAACGTATCAAAGAGACTTAAACTTTCTCGTTCACAAGGTTAATATCATCGTCATCCTTAACTTGCTATGTACAAGAACCGGTGTCATTACGGACACCCGGAACATCAATGTCCCCAAGATTGACATGACCGTCAACCTTAAGTTGCCCAATAGCAGGACTGATGTCATTACCGACACCTGGGACTACACTGTCCCCAAGGTGACGAACTGCGTCAACCTTATATTCCCAACAGCAGGACCGATGTCATTGTTGACATCTGGGACTACACTGTCCCCATGGTGACGAACTGTGTCAACCTTTATCTAATCTTTATCCGTTCCGATGTCATTACCGACATCTATTGATGAGTCACTTCCAGTGATTATACCACCCAGTGGGTACTTACGTGCCCCTCCACGCTCATCAAATGAGCGTTGCCCTTGATGAATTAATGTTTCACCAGCATTGTCTTGACTGAAAATCAGTGTGTTGTAATCACGGCCAACATCACCTGGTGAGTACTTACATGCCACTCCACACTCACCGGATGGGTTGACTTATGATGACTTGGATCTGGGCCAAAAATGCATTCAGCATTAAGTGATTCGTTGTTACAACGTTATTTACTCGACATAGTACGTGCCGTCTCACTAACAGTCAACGAGCTTGTCTCGTAACAAAATGTTTTGACATCGTCCAACTCAGCGAGTTCAGCCATACCAATGTCCAACACACTGACTGTCTCAGTCCGTGCCTCGTGCCAATAGCGTTTCTGTTATCTAGCAGAGTAGAGTTAGTGACTCTCCAAAGCTCCACTAGGAATAGTGCGCGTTGCGCCTACGGTCTTTGACCCCCAATCAAATCATGGCTCATGGCGTTGTAGCCTAGTCATACAAAGGATAAGATCATACTTCTCACAAAAATCAAAGAATAGACAGCGTTTGATGTTGTCAAAGTCCGAAAACTTAACGCCTAGATTCACAGGAATTTTAGGCACAGTGACTAATGCACCTGTCGCGAAGCATACAGTGATAGTCTCACTCTATCGCGCTTTCAGCGCCTCAGCATATCGCTGACCCGATTTCAGAATACTACGTCGGACAATATTTTCAGACGCCCTGTGTCGATCAAAATCGACCATGGCTATCTATTTCTTTACCTTTGCTTTTGCAACTAACAAGCCTGTCTGGTTATCATGCTTCGTGACATTGCCCACGAAGCCTATAAGGTATAGTTTCTTCCCTCCATCACCTTCCAGATGTACAATACAGCCTAAAAATCCCCCAGCGGGTCTTTAAGTGCCTACCGGGACTGAATGTTTACCCGCGCCTTACCAACTCGTTGTTTAGCGACGGGAGGTCGGCTCTAATGAGCTTGTCTAGTCCTTCGACAAGGACAATAGGGGACACGATGTTTATTGCTCCCGAAGTAGAAAATCTACGGGTGTTCTAACGCTGTTAGACAGCATAAATCTCAGCTTCTTCGTCTCTATCGGCAAGAAAAAGGTCCACGGGTTCTGCCCAATTCATAGGATGAAATTTGCTGACAAGTTCGCTTGGAACCCATGAGTTGCGTAACGGAAAGCTTTTACAGTTGAAGTCTGTGTTCAATGCTAGGTTCACTACACCCTCAAATCTCAGGGGTTGTGTACGCAACACTTCTGTTCTTACAAATCCAGTGCAAAGACCCTCCAAAAAGGTTACTTAAACCGTGTCAGGTGAAGGGTCAAGCTGCATAGCAGCAATTAAAGTTCAAAACTCCTTGACATAATTGATGAAGTCCTTTGTGCCCTGGCGGGTTGACAGGAAGCCGGATCGCACGCGATATGCCTGATTAGGCGGAGCAAACACATGATGTAGCTGCTGTTTTAGCATGTCCCAGGTGGGAAAAGCCTCGCCAATCAAGGTGCCATAAGTGAACGCCCACTCCGTTGCTCGACCTCCTAACTATGATAGGGTCAGGCCCACCTTCTGCTGCTCTGATCACAGCAAGGCCGAGAGAATGTCAATCTCCATATCTCAAACCCACAAGGCGATTTTCTTTCTCTTTCCCCTCGAAAGTCTTGAAACTTTAGACTGGACGACGAGTCCTTGACTCAGTGTCCAATATTGGAACATATCGAGTGGGCATGGCCGATGCGAAATAGTCATGGACCTGTCTGATTTACGTGGACTCAAAGTTTGAGAAGGTCTCGAGACGTGCACGAAGTGCATACGGACCTTGCGACACTAAAATATCCACTTTAGCTTGTCCGATCAACGCCGTGAGCTCCTCAAGCATGATCTGCTGGGCCTCAGAGAGGTTCATGGCCGTCTGCATACTCGCAGAGGATCCAGTCTGTGAAGACTCAGGTGTAGATTTGCAACAAATGCTACCAAGTTTAGCGGAGCTACTCAGCGCTCCTAATCAGTGGAATTCTTAGTTTTAAAGAATCTTTTTTGTATAACATACGAACAACGAAGTACAGTCGCCCAAGCGTGCAAGCTTAACAATCCCGGTTTCAAAGGGATTGCGGTTCACAGAATCGCACACTAATTAGTCACTACTAGTTAAACAAGAGTAAACGCCTTCACAAGGCTAACACTCTTACGACACGCTATGCCTTGACTAGGTACTAGAGTCCAACGATTCAAAAGGGGAACTGAACTTTATTCATTGTTTTTAGCTATGGTAATGAAACCCTAACACCTTGCCTAACTGACTTCTACGTTACGATCTTGTGACAGAACTCTAATCCCTTTTCCTTACTCGATAAGCGCGGTATCTCCGTAAGCAAGTGGTACCAAGAATGCATCACTCAGATCCACGGATCTTTACTTGGTGTGGACAAACTACATAACCGGTTCAATTAACCGCGTGTAAACCCGTTACATAAACGATCGACTCTTTTTACGTGTTAAGCATGAATCACCTTCTGTGACGTCTTGGATAAAAATACGATGCACCTTTCCGCTTAATATTGTACCCGATTTAAATTTTTTTGTCTCACCCTTAAAGCATGTGCCTATGTTATCGCGCTTGATGCGTGTGCTGACAAGTTGTCCCCATGGCATCAATGCCGACGAATTTATTTTAGTCCGGTTAGCATTTCGGCCGATGAAATGCTTCAGGATTGGCTAGTGCTGCAAGGTAATTTTCACAACAAATTAACGCTTTATTGCATGACCACAACGGTGATATCGTGACACCTGGAGCGTATGAAATTACCGCTCTAAAATCTTAAATTAAATGGAGTTTTTCAACCTTACCATTCGAGGCATTTCATCAGTTTCGTAAATTTACATCCTAGCTATGTGTTTATTGGACCACATGCGCATCTTCTGTATCTCAAATTCGCCGTCACCACGGATTGAACGATAGTTCGTGTTGTCGCTCAAAAGGTGTTATGGGATTGGAAAAGTAGTGGGTGTCATTGGTCCTTCCTCCTTGGTCTCAATGGCAAGACGTTACCATATCCACTGGCGCGATCCACGGTGTGTGATTCGTGATCTTACCTTTCAAGCCGCGGAGATTTATGTGGACCTAGAGGTCAATACAAAGTACTGCGCCAAAATTTTCCTTGGGTGCGTGTGTTGCGCTATCACACTTGAATTAATTGATCGCGTGTGTAGCGCAATAAACAGTTGACTTAATCGTTCGTGATTGTTTGGCTTTGATGCATATGTTGCAAGGGTGGACTTTCGAATTTTCGACACGCATCCCTCTCATTAAGTCATGATTTTTCACGCATTGCATCAGTCGTATTCAGATTATCTAGTCGCTTGTACCAATCCGTCAGTATATCAGCCGTTGTGTTCGGCACATTGACGGTCCCAAACTGTACCGTAGTCTCCACGAGGTAGTACAATCCGCAAAATCATCACTTAGTTTCGATACTGGCAGACCAGGACTCTACGCTCTGCCAGTTATGAGAATGAGAGAACATTACCGCTTGCTAATGTAATTTGATGAACTTCCTTGACGGTAGTATTTTGCGTATTCGTGTCCACGAGTAGTATGATTGTTACGTCACCTACCAACGTAGCAAAAGAACTATTATGTTTGCCGCGGTAAAGTCCAAGCACATGACCGCCCATCTCGTAGAATCGTGTGGTCGTCCGTGATGCACTGGCTTGCTACATATTTGAGCAGCCACATAGTATCTTTTCCTGCTAGCACTTTTTTAAATCTAGCTGTTCAGCATGGCGCAAGATGAATAGTATCATCACGTTGGACTGCCGTACTGGAAACGTTAAATGTTCCTTCCAATTTCTGGAAATAAGATAAATGTGTCTTGCTGGCTGCGTCTGTTTAAACAATGCTTGTTTACGTGGACAGCATTTTAGCACAGTGTCAACTGCGTCCTTCACCCGAAGCTGCTATTCGGTGTTTTTTTCACAATGTCGTATCCTGGTGGAGTCGTTCTTGTTTTCCTCTCAATCAGTGCAACCTTCCTATTGCCAGATACATTCTGACCCTTGTCATTTAAGTCGAAATCACTTTTTTTTGTGATACTCAAACGATTTTTCAGCTCAGATTGTGAATTTGTGGCAATAAGGGTAACCAAACTAAGAAAAATTGACTTCTCTTCAGTGCATGCGTACGTGCGAAAGTTTTCATCACCGTTAGATCATTCGCATTCATAATTCTCCTCAGTTCCAGTAGTTAATCTGCTTAACCGAGCCACATGATGTGTTTTCCCTTGTCTTACGCAAGATTTTGACGAATTCGAGGCCACTCAGGTGTTTTCCGTACTGTGTAAGGTACACATGCATAAACTATTGTAGAAGGGAAACTTTGGATTATAAATTTCAAATTTTTTTTAGTTGTCTTGGAACAACTTGGACGGCCCGTTGGCCATGGACTTTACCATCAACAACGTCTTCAGGATGTCTGTCCAGTTGCTGGCGTAGATAGCGACATAGGTTGCAATTGTGTGGTTCCAACGCCGCCCGCAGTCTTCAAAGACCGAGTTCGAGGTCCTTGCAAGGGTAGCGTTACTTGGTGCTGAATTGCTTATATACGAAAGCGTTGGTGATTGGTGGCCGAGGCGACTTTTGAGATGCAGGCGTAATAGAGCATGGAGTACCTGGTAACGCCGTAGGCATGGTCACACTCGAGCAATGGCGATGTTAATCTCAACTCTTCTCCACTATCTTCACCTAATGTGGAATCTACAGGTGCATTCAGATGCATCGTAACCATTTAAACAGTCAGACCGTCGATCTGAGGCTGGAGTAGCACGATGTTGAGACCTTGACCGGAACCAACAGGACTATCTTGATCGTGCATCGCCCAAAGCTCATCCTGAACTCTAGCAATTGACTGTGCTAATGACTGCAGCGTCGACGCCCGCTTTTATAGTGAGTGAGATGGTGAGGTAATTTAGGTACACGAACGAACTACTGTATCCTGTCATTCGGCAACAAAGTTGCCTGGTCGACCGCTACTTTAAATACTTAGTAGCACTAGTCCTCGGACAGCCAGCGCGTCTACGCGCAGACTCCTGTCTCGAGATAATCAGGTTCCTCGAGGTTAGCACGGGGCCCTAAATTACGAGTTGACGTTCGGCTTGAGAGGTCTCCACTTAATGATTGACATGAGCGTTAAGGAAGGTCGAAGCATCTTGTCCCAGACCTGGGTTAGAGATAGCGTGCGTCTGAATAGAATCTCCCGTGTCCATAGCGATATTTGCCAGTCGATCCGCCATTTTGTTGAAGGTGCGATAATGATGTATCCAGCTGGCGACATCAATATCGTTAGCGACGGCATGTGTTTCGTGTAAACACAGCACCAAGTGCGTCTTGCGTGGAGGGTGTCGTCTTCGGAGTTGCGAAAAAGCACGAGCGCATTGTCTCCAATAACATGTAGGGGTGAGTAGTCGTCTGTCTTTGCTTGTCGAAAACCGTGCACGAGCACCATTATTCAGCAACATTGTTAGTGGTATCGTCAGCGCCATTAGCCATACTTGATACCCTCAAAACGCATGCGGCGTGATCCGGAACGTGTAGTCGGACAATCACAGATCCGGCTCCTCCTGGACCTGGTTTTCCGCAAGATCCGCCGTCAAAGAAGAGGAGGTAAAGCACGCCCGGGCACCGGTCGATAGACTGGAATAGAACGCAGGAGGTTTATCGTAGCAGTGTAGAGTAGTAGCTCAGGGCCGATCTTACCTGCGCGAACAGTTGCCCATCTTCTTTCATCTTGGGCTGATAGGTTGGTCCCCGAAACCGTCGAATCCACCGACGAAGGCTTGTCTGGGGGCTGGCTGTGTGCACCTCCTGTGATAATAACGATTTTTCCATGCGCCCGCCTGATACACCACCTCGTCGGATTCTCTGTTGCTGTCATATGCGCTTGCGCCAAAGATTGACTTTAGGTTCGTCGGCACAAAAAACATCGGATATGGTGATTAACGTTGCTGTACTGTAGCGGAGCTACCCTCACTTCATTGTCAGTGGAAGACTTACATACTCGTAGAGTTTCTTTGTATATCAGACTAAACGGGTATATAATTAAAGGGTCTCAAGTCTTGCAGTCTTCGTGAGACCTAACTTTAAGTATCTGAACAAGCTCGCAAGCTTCTAGTCCCGATTTAAGGGACGAATGACTCCAAGAAATCTCGTGGCAATAATGCCCAAGAGTACAAGCCTCAATAGAGGCTCTCAACTCTTATAGTAGGCACCTCTTAAAACTGACCAAAAGGGGAACTGAATGTACTAATGAAATGAATGCGCTAATAAACATCATTTAACTATCTAACCTGAACACTTTGCTACCTGATCGAATGGTTCTCACGGAGGTTGTTCTGATGTACCACACCAGAGCTATGCCATCCTTGTGAAGACTATATTACGACAAATATCTGTACATAGTGCAAGGAGTGTAAACTTTTAAGTTGTAAACTTGGCTTTATGATAACTTAGTAGTTTAAGAGATTAGTAGCTTGCCACTACTCTCCGCATTTTACTTCCTTTTCTCGTCCTACACATGTGCGGACATCTGTCTTTCCGTCATCATCCAATGTCTTGATGTGCCTTCGATCTCACCCCACCTCTGTGATGTAGATTCCTGTTGTAATGGAAAATCCTACCCGGGTGTGTTAACTCCAGCACCATCAATCGTGGTTGAAGTGCTGTAGCACCTCATGGTGCTGCGATAATCGTAGATGCTAGGGCAACCGTCCAGCAACAGACTCAGCTAACTATCGTTGTCGTAGATCACTTTGCCTTAGATAAGTGCGTCATAAAGCCAGGCAAGCTCCTTATACAACTGCGTCATAAAGGCCAGGCAAGAACCTTTGACTTACTTCACGCATCTCACAAATTTGAGGTTATAGATGGTTTAGCTGTTGAGTTGAAGGCAAATGCCGAAATAGTTTATTGATTGAGATCCTTAGTTTTCATGCTAACTATGTTACATCTAAGTCCTATATCTACGATTTATTTCGATCGTACAAGAAACATTGTCGTCTCAACGTCCTTTTCACTACACTACCTGGTGATCTTCTGGTAATCACTTTACCAAATTACAGCTGTACCTCATGTATGCTCACCTTATGTTCTCTTGAAAGTGAGTCACATCCGATTACCAATATCCAACAAACTTGCATCCATAAAATACGTACATACGGCGTACCTTGTCAACATTGACGCCTCTGAGCGTTAAACAAGAATCCCTTTGTACTTAAACTGTGTATGTTTGGTTTGGCCGCGCATTTTTTGGCCGGGTGCCAAAAACTGTTTGTTGTATGTGAGCTACAGCGGCAATGCAAAAGTAGGAGAGTTACTATATCAGAGATATGTAACACAGATAGCTTACAGTTAGAAGGACGACGTTTAAAGGACCAACACAGTTTTATAACCGCATTTTACTGGACAAAAAAGCACATGCAAATTTTAAGTGCATTTTTTCTATCGCAAAGCTATCAAACAAAAAACGTAGTGACGCCCGCCACCCGTCCCATTATCCCCACGCAAGGAGAATTCGTAATTTCCGAACACCTATGCAGACAAACAAGACGTACGAATGGTGCCCCGAACGCCTTTTTGCTTCGTCCAGAAGAGAGCTCTATAGATACACCAGCGAGAAAACCCTGGACTCACGCAAGCCGATCTTTGTCGATGGACCCGGGGAGAGTTTGGAGTCCGTGTTGCACGGTCCACGATTACGGGATCCTGAGCGAGGACGTTCCTGTCACCATCAATCCGAGAGCCAAACGGCAGCAGAAGGGCAGAGATGCCGAGGTGGAGAAAGCGCTGTTCCATGTCGTGCTCGACACCCAAAGTAAAGTCACGTTGACCGACTTCATTCTCCACCAGAAGGCCAACCAACTGCACGAGGACGCAGGTGTAACGACGAAGCTCTCGCTTTCGTGGGTGTCGAGGTTCAAAGCCCGACACGGCATCAAGTCTCACCGACTGCATGGAGAGGCGACCTCAGTCGAGCGAGAGACCCTTCACCAGCGGCTCCAGGAACTCCGGACCCTTCTCGACGGCTACGCGGCATGCTATGTTTTCAATATGGATAAAACCCGTCTATTCTATCGCATAATTCTTCGCGGGCTCTGGCAACGATGCCTTTGAGTGGCAAGAAGAAAGATAAGTCGCGCATTTCGATAGGGCTATGCTCCAATCTGGATGGGACTGAGAAACTGGACCCTATCGTGATTAATAAGTCCCTCAACCCCCGTTGCTTTAAAGCCATCGACGTTTTCAAGCTATCCGTCCACTTCCATGCAAAAAAAAACGCGAAGGCATGGATGACTGGCGGCATCTTTGCACATTTATTTGAAGCGTTCAATCTCAAAATGAGTGGGCGAAAAGTTCTTTTGCTGCTCGACAATTCGACCTCACATGTCAATTTGGAGCTCTTAAACGTACACATTCACTTCCCTCGGCCAAATATCACCTCCCATTTGCAGCCGATGAACGCGGGCATCACTCGCAACTTCAAGCTCAAGTACAAGGCCCAATTCGTGCAGTGGCTACTGGACATGGTGAAGGCAGGGACGGAGTACAAGGAGCTCGACGTTCTTAGCACAATCCGTTTGGTGGTAAAAATTGGGCTGAGGTGCGCCCTAAAACGATTCGACACTGTCGTATCCACACACGAATCGTGTCGGGAGTTATGGCGGCAGTGCTCCGTAAGCAAGACGAGCCGGTCCGTCCCAATGATATTTCAATCCTAACTAATTTAGTCGACAAACTATCCTTATCTGATGGAATGGATGCAGACGACTATCTGGAGTGTGACAACAACCTGGAAGAATGGGAACCAGACTTCAATGCAACTGCCACCTCTGAGCCATTTTCTCGTGATGGCGACAGAGACGGAGACGAAAATCCCATCTTCACTCATCGCAACGCGCTGAATGCTGCAATACAATTGTCTACGCACCTATTCGCACACAAGATCGATATCGCACACAAGATTGATACTGTGGGGAAGCAACTGCTGACCGAGAAATGCCGCCAACAGCTTCAACAGAGCATACACCAGCAGCAAATCACCGATTATTTTTTGAAGAGTAAGCTCGGTGGCCCATACTGAAACTAACAGCACTTACTTAATAGCACGCAAAAATAGAAATGATATTTAATATGGTAAATCACTTAGATTTCTACATTTTTCTTCATATCTAACTTTTCCAGAAACTTATTCTAATTATCCAATTCCTATAGAATATTCCAAAAGATTTTATTCAATCATATTCCAACAGAAACGAAGTGGTGTCCTTTAAGTTGATTTCGATCTTAAGGACACGGCGAAATTTTTGGACAAATCGCGCTCTCTAACTGTAAGTTATCTGTAATGCTTTGCGCACCATAAACTCAGAAAGCAGCGCCCAACTCTTAGTAATTGTAGAGTTAGAAGTCAAAGTACTGGTGGCCTCATATCGATGGCCCGGACTGTATGAACATGCGTAAGTGCACGCGACAAAATGCAGGTACGAGCGCGCGCCGTGCGCGAATCTAATTGAGGTGCCTACAACTACTATTGAAAGAGAACAAACGCATGTTCGATATATAGTGCATATTTATTCGCAGTTTAAAGCTTAGTGAGCTAGAGCGTTAGTGCTTGCCTTCGCCTCCATGCATCCTCAAAACGCCGGTTTCACTCTTCCGTTGTGCTCGGCACGGGCTGGGACACCGTCGTACACATCCTCGGTGCCGAAGTAGGTAGACACGAGTTCAGGGGCCACCTTCATGTTGAACGCAGGCATTTCACCCACGCAAGACTTGTCGACGCGTTTGAGGTCAGCGTTGCTGCGAACGAACGAAAGTAGCAACTCCATGCCGCAGTTCTTGCCATCGTCTCCAAACGGGGTCGTTTCGATTGTCACCATCGGCGCGTAGTCAAAGGCAATGAGTTCCTTGTTCGAAGTGTCGAGCGCCTTGAAAAATGATTCCCCATGCTTGTAAGGGTTCTTTGGGTCCAACCTTCCATGTAACTGTAGCACGCTGGCATGGCTGGAAACGGTAGCAGCCTTGCCCCAAAACTTGTCACGCCGGTATGTCATGGGGTTCGCCTCGTACTTGTCAAATCCCATTTCATCACACGCCGGCGACCGTTCTTTCGAGTACAGACAATAATACGAAACGTACCAGGAAGTCATGTCGTCCGTCATGCTCAGGGTTCTCGCTCGAGTGAATAGATCGTCGTACGTAGGTGAAGGTGTCTTCCACATCTCGGAAAACAGTTCCACAAAACAGTAAAAACCTGAAACGTAGGCTTCGGCCTTGTTCGGTAATGAGGCCTGTTCGTTGTTGGTCGCGAAGAATACCGTCAGGACGTTGACATCGTTATAATCGCATCGATTGAGTCGGTGCACCAACGGCGGAATCAAGGACCGCGTGCTTGAATTCAACAGGAGACTGCCCAGTGTAGTCTGTAAGACGACGGCTGGCCCAAACTCTGATGAGTTTGATACCAACGAGGCGCAGGTCGAGTTGGGATTGCTGTCGAAGTTCTGGAGCAAACGGTGAAGCGTGGCAGACAAGCTGGTGGCTTTGAAGTGAGAAGCGCAGTCGCGGTCTTGCGCGCACAGCTTCATGAAAGTATCGCCCACGCTAGCAAAATCAACGTCGTAATCTGACCGATAAGTCTTCTTGGCAGGCGATACTGCATAGGCCATGGCGCCGTCCAAAACGTATCCGTTCACGCTCGGCGGATCCAACTGCATCAGACGCTGGACCTGCATCGTTCCACCGCTCACACCGTACACAATTGTACTCGCGCCGTTCGTATGCTTGTGGATGAAGTGTGAAATGTCCGTTGCAGCGCTTGTGATCGAGAACGAAGCGAGGTCTCCATACTGGTCCTGCATGATTTGAGCACACGCAGGAATGTCCGTCAAATAATCAGGGCTCTCCGACTGCGACACGCTCGTCGTGCTTTGACCTGATGCACAATCGAGCAGTGTTCCGCGTCCATTGCCGCGGAGATCCATCGTGTACACGTTGACTGCTCCTTCGAGGCTTTTGTGTAGCGTCACCATCGAATGTTCCACTGCAACAACATACGCGAGTCCTCGATTAGACTCAAACTATTGAGTAGGACAACCAGAGCCTTCACTTACCTTCACTACATTCAATCTCTGGAATCATCCACACATTTGGTGCGTCGTCCACGTTGCCCCCTTTGCACGCAACCGCTTGACGAAAACCTTGATCGTCGAGTTCACATTCGCCGGTGTCTCGCAGATACCGGGGTAACACAACGGGGCATCGTAGGTCACGCACTCGGCTTCGTATTCACCTTCGCCAGGAAAAGTGTAGGCCGGGCAAGGTTTCCATCCTGGAAACGAAGAATCCGAAGTGATGCTGGAAGCGGCCGAGGTTTGGCCGATCACTCCAGCCGCAAAGATGCTGAGCACACGATGAAGCTTCATCGTCCGTTACGAAGGTGTTGTCGGGACGATCGAAGTTGGAAAATGGTTGTCTTGTTATCGCACGCCAAAGCACGTGCCGTCCATTTGTACCATCGTCGACGCGAATATCTGGTCCCTGCTTGTGACAAGCAGCTCATCGCCGATCAGTTAACAGAACCGCGTCGTGCCCATTTTCGCATGCACAGCCTAGCGCCATCTTCAAGGAGGTGCACGCAAAGGCGAGCACGTTACTGTAGCAACGAAAGCTCTTCATTCCTTTACGTATGCTCGAATGACCGCGTGGGTTCAGCGGGAAACGAGCCGACATCTTTAACACACCATCTGGAAATCCGGAATTTGCATTTGTTGTCACGGCGGATGTACGCACTATCGCTCGAACAGCTGGCGGCGCTATCGAGCGTAAACATAGGACAGGGAAGACGTCTGATCTCCGCGAGAAACATAGTCGAGCGCGCGTTCAAGCAGGTATTGTCACATGTTGCTGTTCTTGACGCGAGTTGGCACAGCGTACCCAAACAGCACCTCTCCCACTTGCACCGCCGATCATGTGGCGGCGAATAGATTGTGCCAACGACACGTGTCCGATTGCGCGGTGAGGATAATAATCAAGCGGGAAACTTCGGCTTGGACAACAGGGCGAATCGGCAACTCGTTGAACATTATCTCGGCCTCGCTTCTATAGTATCCAGGATGCCGGTTTTGTAGTGCTTATGAGACCGGTCTCTCGCGATTGATGGGCTGCAACGTGTGACATCCAGCAGCTTGGATTCGAGACATGCGTCCGTAAATTCCAGATGGAGCAGTAGATTTCTCTTCGTCTGAGACAAACAGATTGACAATATAAAATGGTCTACGCTGTGGTGACGTCTATTCTGCTCCATATGCCAGTACTTTCGGCTCATGAGAGACACGACGAAGCTCTGTTTAGGTACTGACCCGCGTCTTTGATGGAACATTGAATCCGTGTCGCGTACGCAAATCACACGCCGTCGCGTTCTTCAACATTCAGTGTACAGCTTGGTGTGAACAAGTTGCGGGAGAACCAGCTCGACGCCGACAAGTTGTAGTAAAAAAACAGCCTCATTGTCGACAAGATGTGGAAGAACCAGCTCGGCGTCGACAAGATATGGAAGAATCAGCTTGACGTCGACGAGTTGTGGAAGAACCAGCTTGGCGCCGTGTTGACTTGCTGGACATACCTGCAGTAGGCAGCAACATTAGTTTCGAAGCGTGGGTGGAGTTTGCTCATTTTTGCCTTCGAAACCCGTTGTTGCAAATATGCTTTCTGGTCCGCGAGCACTTGCACGGCTTTGCTGCAGTAGTGCGACTTCAGAACTGCGAGCACGTAACGGCACGCCGCCACGCCGCTGGTCGCTTTACAATCCTGTACAACCGGCCGTAATTGGTAGGATACGTATCGTTATACTCTTACCCTTACCAGTCGTAGTATTTATCATACAACCGAAGGATTTTAGGAGCGAACGTCGGTAGACATTGAGTCAGTTATTCCGTACACTACTGAGCAGCAGACATATGCTTTGGCTGTTCGGGCAACATGACGACGGTTTGGAGGTGTGGTCAGGACTACAATCCTTAGCAGTTCGAGACGTAATCAGATATGGCAGTAACTCATTTGCCAGATCCAACAGCATCAATCGAAAAGACATGCAGGTCCAAGGTAGTATACGCACAATTCTACAGGTAGATCGAATGATCCTTATGAGATGGAGGAGCAAGCTCCGGAGCTCGCCCGTTGATGTAAGTAATCTAGTCCATAGAACTGAACCAAGTTCTGTAGATTCACGTCCCATTTCTAGTAGCTAGTGGCTAGGAAACGGGTTGTGTTTGTGTGCTAAAAAGTGAAATGCTGATAGATCTTTGTGTGTTGAAGGTACTTGTGGCATTCGTTACGTTCTAACGAGACGAATGTTAGAAAAGGTAGACAAAGGATAATCTCGTTCGTCAACGCCGTCTACCACAAATGCGGTCGACGACATTTAATTTTCGGTAAAATAAATAAATACAGTCTTCCCTCTGCTAAGTTATCCCCGGCTACGGAATAACCTCCGGTAAGTTATAGGATTCGGTCTCCACCGACCTCGTTCTATGGTGACTACGGAATAAGTTATACGGAATAGCATGAGGGCCAAATACAACTTATCAGAGGGAATATTTTTGTCCGCCGTGAGCAGAAATATTGTACACAGAACCTTTTTTTGTTATTCACTGCAAGAAAGGAGTGGAAAGAGGAGAGGAAACTACTTCAGCCAGGAATCAAGTGTGGCCTGAGTGGTGCTCGCACTACGGAGATCAGCTTGGACTTGGCGAAGGGTCCGGTGAGCTATACGATGGGACTCCTGAGAAAGGTCGAGAAGGGCGATGGATAGACTAAGGCTGGCAAGCTTTTCAGCCTTCGAATGCTTTTCCACCTCCTCCTCCGCCTCAGCAGCACCTTCCTCCTCCCCATACGGATCCTCAACAAGCTTGATGATTTCGGCATCGGTCAGCTCCGCATGCGCCGTCTCCTCCTCCTCAGCCGGATTGAGAAGAGAAGCGATCGACATGGGATTGCGGAGCGGGAGCCTTTCCAGCGCCGAAACAAGATCCTGTTCCACGCGCTGCTCCTCTACTGCAGCAGCTGCTGCCTCCTGCTGGGCCTACTGGCCAACAGTGCCGGCTTCGTTTTCACCCCCACTAGTCGGCAGAGCCGGACCGTCCATGAGTCCCGTATGACGGAAGCAGTTGGCGATTGTGGCACTGGAAATCTCGCTCCACGCAGCCAGCGACCAACGCATGGCCGTGAGCTGATCAACCTTGTAAAGGTTGGTTTCTCCGCGCTCGTCACGGTCCGAGGCATTCTGCAGATGCAGCCGGCGGTAGTGCCTCTTGAATGGGCAATAATCCCAGCATCCATGGGTTGGACCTTTGAAGTCGTATTAGGAGGAAGAACCTGGACCGTGATGTTGGTGAGTTCCAGGTCAGCAACAATGTGTGAAGGAGCGTTGTCCATGAGAAGCAGGATTTTTCTATCCTTTTGCTGTGGTCAACGCGTTAGTCAAACCTCCTTTACTGTACCACAACGATGATGTTCAAGGCATGCCCCAAATTACCTTCATACTTTTGTCGACATCTCCCAGCCATTCCTGGAAGAGTATGCCAGTCATCAGGCTTTCTTGTTGTTGCGGTAGAGAAAGCGCAGTCGCTCAGCTGTCTTGTGCTCAAAACACCGCGGCTTTTTGGCGTGTCAATGAAGAACGGCGGGAGTTTGTCGGATCCATCAGCGTTTGCCGTGAGAGCAACTGTGATGCGCGTCTAGAATAGTTGTTAGTGTCAGAGAAACGCAGGAAACCAAGAGGAGAGCAATAATGTACCTTGTCTTTTTTAAACCCTTCGACCTCTTGCTGGGCGATCGTTTTGTCGGGCGTCATACTGTAGAACAAACCTGAACAGAAAGTGAGCCTTTGAGATGCTTCTGTACTGTACAATGAGTACAGTACTGTACTGTATTCTCAGACCTACCAGTTTCGTCCATGTTGTACACGTCACGTGGCGCATAACCAGCAACCACGGCCTTGAGGTGTGGAAGAGCCTCCTCTAGAGCGCCCATATCTGCTGAGCCACTCTCACCATGAATGCGGACAGCTCGCAGTTTGTGGCGTTGCTGGAATTTGTGGAGCCACCCATGCGAAAGCTGATGTTTTCCTCCGATACGCCCATTGATCCCGCAAAGGTCTGAGCCTTGGCCCGTATGAGATCTCAGTGAGAGCGAACCCACGGTGCTGGCACTGCAAGACCCAGAAGGTGACGGCCTCCTCCACAGCTGGGTGCTGGACAGTCCGAGGACGCTTAGCGCTGAGGTCAGTGGTGTCCATTGCCTCGAGCTCCTTCCTTTTTTTTGATGATTTTGCTGATCGCTGCCTGGGAAAGTGCCTTCTGGAGGTCAAAGGCGTCCATTTGTCCAAGCCGCCAGGGCAGTCTGGGTGATGCGCGGGTTAGCATCCTGGTGCTTGCAGATGCGCAGCTTCTGCTCGTTGGTAAGACGTATCTGCGACATCTGTTGTGAGTGAGCAAGGTACAGTTGGTGGAACTTCTTAATTAGAGATAGCAAAATCACCAGAGACTGGTGGGGCAACCAAAATCACAAAATCTTCATAGGGCACGTGACAGACAGGTTTTGGAAGCCTGGAGGTTTGTTGCGTTTTTGATTCTTTAATTAATTAAATTAATAATTTTTCCGCAGCATACCTCTGCTATGGAATAACCTCTGCTATGTTATAGGATTTGCCTTCCACCAAGTCTATAACTTAGCAGAGGGAAGACTGTACTCCATTTAATCACGAAAGCAAAAAAAATGCCCCAGGTAACTGGAAAATAAAAATGCCCCACGTCCTGGTATACTCTAGTTAATGTGGTACACAAAAATCATTGTCTCTGATCATTTTTTCTAATGGCCGTGCTCAGCCCCGCTTTGCAGGCGGAGCCGTGGATGGTATTCTACCACGGACCTGCTGCGCTCGAGCTACCATTAGCAGGCGCAAACGGCACAAAATAGACGCGAAACCTTCTTAATATCTTCGGTCACGGCAGCAATTGTAGACAATCAGTGCTGATGTTGTTGTTTTTATTCAAATTGTTCTATATCATTTATCCTTGTTGTTTTTGTTTTTAGTGTCGTTTGCTATTAACGTTCTTTTCATTTTAGCTGCTGTTCTTCTTAAGCTAGTGTCGTTGTTGCTGGTGTTGTTGTAATCGCGACCGCTGTGAATTAGCCCTTTTTATTTTATAGAGTGTTTATGTTGTTCCTATTCCTTTTGATGCTGCTGCTGCTTTAAGTTGGTGTTGTTGCTGATGTTGTTGTTGTTGTTGCTAGTGTAGTTGGTGCTTTTGGTGTTACAATTGTTCAGTAGTATTAATGGTACTACAGTTCTGCTGAAGTAGTTGTTTAGCTGTGCGATAGGAATCCTGCTTGTACGCTATACTTACTTGAATTTTTTAACCGTAATAGACAATTCTAAATCCATTGTACCTGTTTGACTCTTCCTCTTTTGACTCGATAATGCTTAAACACGTGCTGATGGCTACATTGCAGTGCTATTGCATCGATTAGTCGGTGCTATTGAGATTTTCCTTCAAGGATAGCAAGTTGATATTGCAAAGTTTAAGAGGTATTGGAAACACATACAATATATTTGCTTTGGTCGACATGTAAGCACACCCCAGCATGCATGTCATTGTAAAAGAAATAAACACATTCTGTATTGAAACGTACAAGACGGACACCAACACGATTTTGTTGGACTGTATCCGCCAGCACTTTGCATGCCGCCCTCTACAGGTAATATCCGATGCCAAGCCACCTGCTGCGTTGTTTGATGTGCTGCAAAACTGCTTTCCGTGTTCTCATAAAGTAAATCGGTAGAAATTAAAGGCGCTTCTTGAAGTTACGGACCTACACATCCGCTAGATTCGATTAAAGTTTTCCTTTATGGTACCCAGCTTCTTCATTTTTGCACGTTGCAAATACGTATTGACATTATGTAAAGGAGTAGCCCGTTACATGATATTGACACCAAGCGGTGCCAATAGGAATAATGTGTAGCATGACAATATCCTGCCAACATTATCCGGAATGGATGATATTGAAGGAATATTATCACCTTTTAGGATAATATACATGCGCTGCTCAAAGATTGGTTGGTGAAGACGTATTAACTATAGATTATTGTAAATCGCTGCTAGACGCGCGCAACGAGTGGTGAGCAGGTTGTTGTCATACGACGACGTAGCTTAATATAATTAGATAAAGATTGAAGTTAAGCTATAAGCTTTACTATATGGAATGCAGTTCCATTTTTACCTTTACTCAAACAAGTTGTTCGATTAGATTAGCTTCCTCTGCAAGTACTAGTATACGTGAAGTCTCGTGGCACCCAAACAAAGGGTGCCCCGTTACACCTGGTAGCACCTTCGTATAATGTTCAACGACTAATTTGTGTCTGTCCAACATGAACATGTTGGACGCAGAAGACGATAGCTTTCACGTCACACGGGAAGGCTACTCCCATCTGAGTGACTCAAAACGGGAGGTAGTCGGCCGCATGAGTGTGCTCATGGGCAAACCCGCCATCAGTGGCATGTTGGAGTCTTAAAGCAGAGACAAGCAACAAACTGCTATCAACAAGTTCCTACAAGGGGAACTTGCCGTCGAACGACAGAAGATAGCCTTGCTACAGCAGCAAGGCTCTCATCAGTCGATGGGCCGACCGACGCACATGCGTCGATCCGAAACCTTTAAGATTGATATCTCAAGGTACACGGAAAACGATGAAGATTACCTTTTGAGATGGTTCGTCGAGCTAGACGATGCCATCAGAGCCTGTCATTTCGAGGGTGACGAGATGCAAGTCACCTTCGCCCTGTCAAATTTGACGGGACGAGCAAAGACTTGGGCCTTAGGGCTCAAGCTTCACGACCCAAACGTGTTTGAGTTGTTAAAGATCTTGAAGTCTTTGCTCAATGAGACGTTTGAGCCGCCGAGAGCCGAGTTCAGAGCACGCTCTGCAATCTTGAGGCTAAAGCAAGGTAAGCGTGATGTGCACGCTTACGCACTTCACTTCTGCTACCTTGCTAGTAGCGTCACGGAGCACCCTGTTGATGAGCCAACGCTCATTAACGTTTTCATCGACGGCCTTGTGGATGGACCGGTGAAGACCTACATGTTCCAAGAGGACTTCCATACGCTGGAAAAGGCGATAGCGTATGCGGAACTAGAAGACTTCAGCCTGAGACAGTCTGAGGCTAGCTCGTCAAACTATCTTGTGACGAAACGACAGGAAACCGGCGGTCTCGAACCAATGGATCTCTGTTATATCGATATCGAGAACTCTCGCTCTCTGATTTACAAGCGAACGGCAAGATACCATCGCTGTCAAAAGATCGGACACTACGCTCATGAGTGTAGTGTCATAAACGCCGCATCACGTCCAAAGACAGGACGTGATGGAAACCGTTGGCCAAGTAAAGGTCCAAGGCGTGGGTCCGACCATGTCGCTAAGCCTCGACAGCAAGTCGGAGCGTCAAAAAAACGGACAGGGTCAGTAGAGATGGAGCACCTTGCTTGTCCAGCAACGTCAAATGAATTTGCAGGACTCTTGAAGAAGATTGATCCCAACACACAGTCGCTGTGTGTTACTGCCCCTAGTGATGAAGTGTTCCTCATCACTTTGAAGATCGAAGTGACAAGTGGGATGTCACTTTGCGCCCTGGTTGACTGTGGGCCGTCAATCAGTTTTATTCGACGCCAGTTGCTAGAACATAGGAGGCTCGACTACGTTGAGCGAGAGTTCCCTTCAACAAGGATGACGGTGTGCCTTGCTACAGGCGCATCCGTAACAGTAAACAAACGTGCAGTGTGAATCCACTACACGCTAGGAGGAAAGCATTACAATGATGAATTCATCGCACTGGATTTGGATGACAAATTTGATGACATCCTCGGTCTGCCATGGCTTAGAAAATACCAGCCATGGATCAGCTGGCAGCATCGATCCATAACGATGCCTGCCGTTTTGTTCATTAGATAACCATATGATGAACGTCTTGGAGCGTCCACAAGGGTTTGGATGTACTATGAGTGAGTGCGATGGCCTCACTTGCGGTACGGTCTTTAGTATGACTGCACAAGACCACAGTGTAGAAGGCCACTACAATGTGGAACCAGCTTCCGGCACCTGTGTAGAGACACAGGCTGTGCCGAAGGTTCACCGCTCGAGTAGATCGAGTGGACTGGAACACGAATGCACACCAAGAAGGGTGCATCCAAGAAGAGAGATCCGTGTTGTATAGGATGAACAACACGATGATGCGAGATCCACTATCAGAGAGTCGGTCGTAGAGCAAGTCCTATCGACTGAAAGAGAGTCGACCGAAGAGGACGTGACTGTGGTAGTACACACACAGTCAGTACATGTATTGGAAGAAAGCTCCAGCGTTCCTGAGAGTGACAACTCCCAGGAGAGTTATGTTGAGGGTGTCTTTCAAGAACCACCTGCGGATGTGTTTTCCCAAGAAATCACCGAGACGGTGAATGTCTTGGTGAATGACGGATCAAGTGTAGGCGCTTATACACTTGATCTGGTTACACCTCTGGATTTAGCTTCGGAGGTAGTCAAGTTGCCAGCGCTAGAATCTAAAAGGTTCTTGCGAGATCTGCGTAGTGACAAGATCAAGCAGATCTGCGAACTCGTCACGGAAGACGAGTATGTCGCCGATGTTCGGTCGGCACAAGTTTTGCTGAGAACGAATGGGTAATCGGTAGCTCATCGATGGACGAGAGTTTCGCTGATGAGAATACTCGGGTTGAGCGGTACACGTCTCAATCTTGGGGTTATCTAGAGCCAAATTCTTTGTATAAGGATTTGGTTGAATTCAGGAATGTTTATTTAAATCCGTGCCGTGCGAGCTGCTTAAAGATGAAGGCACTCGGCATGAGTTCGAACTAATCCCGGTTTGAAATACTGTGTGATGAAGCAGTGGCCACTGCCTCGTGAACAGGTCACGGCGATCTACACATTCTTTGCCGATTGCTTGGAGGCTGGTTATGTGAGGAAATTAATATCCTCACACAGCTCTCCGATTTTCAGTGTGCGATAGGCCACAGGAGGGCGGCGTAAAGTGCACGCGTTCAACAAATAGAATGCTGCAACGGTACCGGCTCGAACGCCGATCCAAAGGAAGGACGTCATCATAGATGATACGGCAAAAAGTACCATCTTTTCGTTCATAGATCTGATGGATGGATTCTATCAGATCCTCATTCGTGAACGGGACATCCCGTGCACAGCAGTGAGCACCCCCAGTGGTATGCTCTGGGAGTGTCTAGCGATGTCACAGGAACAAGTAATGCCCCTGCAACGATCAACAGATGTGTAACGAATCTGTTGCGATCGGTGCGCGATTTCGCACCGATTTACGTTGTCGATGTCTTCGTCTTAGGCCGGGCTATGAATGGAAATACGGACGTGGAGGTTCATTGATACCTCGTCTGAAAGGTTCTTACACTTACGCGAGAGCAAAATCCATTCACGCTTCTCAAGAAGTATACCTTCGCAGCGAACAAGATACCACTTCTTGGCTGCACCGTGGGTAAGAACGGTGTACGCCCTGATCCGGAAAAGATCAAGGCGATCGCCGACTGGCCTGTGCCAGTCGACGTCAAGGGTCTTCGAAAATCCCTTGGGCTAGCGGCGTATTTGCACAAGTACTCGCGCAACTATGCCAAGATGACCGTACATCTCTCTCGTCTGTTAAAGATAAACGAGAGGTGCTCATGGAGTGCTGAGTGTCAGCACTCCTTCGAATGTATCAAGAGAAGCTTGATACGATCGCCTGTGTTGGCTATTCCAGACCAGGACAGACCATTCCATGTGGTCTGTGACGCCAGCGATTTTGCAATCGGCTGCCCGTTAATGCAGTCCGATTCAGAAGGAGTTGAGCGCGTCGTCTGTTATCAATCGCGTCAGCTTAACCAGCTGAGCGTAATTACCCGGTGCATGACAAGGAACGCCTTGCAATGAAACATGCACTGGCTAAGTTTCGGGTGTATCTCTTAGCAGATAGGCCCTTCATCGTTTATGCCGACCATGCGTCGTTACGCTCGGTCGTAAACAGTCCACACCTCTCGCAATTGATGGCGAAGTGGCTGTCTTTCTTCGCGGAGTAAACCTTCTCCGTCGAGAAGAAACCAGGACGACTTAATGTCGTCCATGATGCTCTTTCGCGTCAGCCCGATTTCTTGCCGACTGCTCGACACAACAGTAGGGGTGATCCCACTGTAGCGACACTATCAGTGAGTGTGCTGTCGTCTAATCAGCTCGAAGACGTGCGGAAGGCATACGCGGAAGATAAGTCTCCTCTTTGATTGATGGATTACGTGTCTAATCCATGCAGTCAAGCTTTGAAAATCTTGGCGTCTCATCACCGCCCTTTAACCGAACAATGTTCAGTTCGTGATGGACTGCTGTACTATACAGCACTCAACAGCGACACACCTTGTTTCGTCGTTCCCGCTAATCATGATTTGCTATTGCGCATCATGTATGAATGTCATGATGCCTCGACAAGTGGGCATTGCGGTAAAGACCTCATGGTGAGTCGTGACTTCTACTGGCCCCGCCAGTATAAGTTTGTGCGCAAATACATTCGCGCTAGCGAATTTTGTCAACGGGTGAAGCCTAGTTCTTCCTCCCGTGCGCCCTTGCAGCCCCTACCGATTCCGGCAGAGTGTTGGCAGTCCGTATCGATGGACTTCGCATTTGGGTTTCTTAAGGACGTTCACAAGAAAACTGGTATTCTTGTGTTTGTTGATTGGTTCGGCAAGATGGTACATCTTGTTGCTGTACTGGAGTCAATCATGGCCCAGGCCTGTGCTCGTGTCTTTATCAATACTTTCTTCCGACTTCACGGGTACCCCGTCAACTCGTGCCTGGTACGGACCCCAGCTTCACAGCGGAATTCTGGCAATCCGTGTTCCGCTCACTTGAAATGCGTTTGAAGCATCAACTTCTAACCATCCGAAACCAGATGGTTATACGGAACGCATCGACCGCGTCCTCGAAGAGATACTTCGAGGGTATGTTCACTCGTTTACGAGCTGGAGTGAGTTCTCGCCGATGGCGGAATTCGCCATCAACAACTCGATGCATGCGTCGACCGTGCATACACCGTCCTTCGTGATTGGCCTACGCCATCCGCGATTACCCGCCTTCTTAGAGTGTAACTCCAGCTCAAAGGGGGAGGGTTGGACTCACTCGAACAATACCGATCTGGTTCATGCTCATCACCCGTCGACAATGGTGTCGACGTGATAGAAGCCGTTGTCGATGCAATCGACACCGATGATGATGATGACGACGATGCTGGTATTATCAGCATCGCCCATGACTGCTACAGTGAGGACGACGAATCTCCCACTGATGAAGACAACGTTCATTCCGCAGTGCACACGAAGCGCACTGCTGTTGACAAGGATGAATCAGCATAGGAATTACTGCTGACTCGCGAAGCGGTTGTCCGCTTCGTTCAAGACTCTATTGCAGGTACACTAGACAGACAGAAAAGAATTGCAGACAAACATGGAAGAGCGAATGTTATTTAAATAATGAAAAAGACTTAGCTTTAATTGTCTACAGTAAATCTACCACAACACGCAGTGACGAACGCGGGCAGCAGTAAATAACTGCTCTAGTACATCGATCCATTTCGTTTGTTGCGCCGGATGGGCAACGCATACACGATTGAGCTGTCTGTAAGATGCGTACGCATCCTATGTTTTACGTTGGTCTTCTCCGCCCTTACTATCAGTACGAGCCCGTTTCGAGATGCGAAGAACACCTCCGCGGTCGAGATCCAAGAACACATTCGAGTGGCCCTTTTCAACGAGCCAGTCTGGTCGACAAGCGAAGCGACCTGCTACGCAGTTGAGCTATGTCTCGACAAGCTGCAGCCAGCTCGTCACAAAGAGAACGAGTCGAACGTTCGTTCTCAGGTTGTGCGAACGCAAACGCGGCAAGATCGTCCGGACGATCTTGCGCTAATGAATTGTACTTATCTCTTACAAGATCATAGAGCTCATAGCGCCGAGTCCGTTCACGATCCAGGTCATCTTGCACCTGTTCCGTTTAAGGGGTTCAGCTCCTAAACATCAAGTTGATCCGACCCTCGAGCCGGATCAGGTGTTCCCACCGCCACCACATCCTTTGGTGGACTCAAGCGGTGGTCAACGCTTCCTAGTGAAGCGTATTTGAACCACCGCGATGTGAATACCGTCCGGACGAGTTACCTCTTCCGCTGACGTGGCTATCCACCGGCATGGGACAGCTGGGAGCCTCATGCCCAGCTGATTGTTGATGTGCTTGGTCTCGTCGAGCAGTACGACGAGACCCACCCGCTGCGTTTGAAGAAGGGCCGTAGGAAAACGACCTCCCCGAACGTGAGTACAGGGATTGCAAGGTGTCAATCCCTTCGGCCATCTCAGAAGAGATGCGCGCCCTCCAGTAGGGATCATTAGGGAGGTAGGCCTCACTAGGGGCACGGCTCAAGTTGGCCAGGCAACCTGGACACGAATCCCGCCACGAGAGACAGGGTTATCCTGCCTCTCTTGACAGCCGGTTCAACTTGTATTGCACCCCCACTGGGTTGCGCTTCGTAAACCTGATAAGATCTGCATCAACTCTACCGAGCCAGGCCTCAAGACTAATGAACTCTCTGTTGTGGATATGGGCATTCCATCCTTGCACCAAGGCTTTGCCGTCATGACCACGGCTGCCATTGTACCACCAATGCTTAAAAGACACATCAGTGAAGAATTCTTCCTCCGCACGGATAGTTTCCGCGTTGGAATAAGGTGGGCAAATATTCCTGCAAACGAACAACGAGATTCGATCCCGTTCGGTTCTCATGCCGGCCAATTGGTACAACTCCTTGGATGATGGCATACAAGGAGACTCTTATTGAGGAGCGTGGCGCAGGACATTTTAGTTCCTGGCCACTTAGTTGGTCTCAACATGAGTATCGACACCGGTGACACCTCGATCCCTCGAGTTACTTTGCAATGGGGCACCCTCAAGCTTGTACTGATGACAGTACAAGCTATTTATTCTGGTGACAGAATGAGGCGGTGCCGCGTAACGTCACGTACACTAGTACGTGCAGAGGAAGACGGTAAGGAGAAGTGAGTACTTGGTTAAAGTAAAAAGTAGAACTGTAAAATTATCATAGTTAATGTCTGGCAATAAACCACTATTCATCCTCATCTAACTATGTCTGAATACAAGTGTGTATATCAACTATCTGCTCACCACTCATTGCGTGCGTCTGTCGTGGCGTGTCTTCGTTGGTTGATATAATGGCCTATATCAACCAATTAGGAACTACTCGTAAGTGCTGCAGAATATTGTTCTTATGAGAATATTCTGAGAATATAACTCTTATAGTTATATTCTATCAGCAATTTCTTATAAATTGTTATGCAACGATTCACCCCATTACATCACCCCCCCCTTAATTATCAGTCACTTTAGTGACTGATTGACTAAATGGATACTCGTCCCAAATCAATTGGGACGGGGTTTGCACTTGTTGGTCCGAGTCCACTTCCCAACATCTCATCGCATGGTTAACAAGCCCATGCGATGCGCGAGCAAGGCCGCCGAGAGCGCGTCCGCACGTCTCTGTGCGGACGCCGAAGAAGAAACTGCAGCAACTGATGTCTCATCGGTTGCTGAAGCGACTCAGCCTGTATCACCTGGTGATGCAGGCGCTGGTCATAAAGACACTCATGTCTTCACAGAGTATGAGCTCGGTGTCTCATACTATCCTGATACGGAAGAAGGATCCGTATCGACGGCGATCAAAACCAAGCCGCCTGCCAATCGTGGCATGGATGATGCTATGCGTCGTAGCATCTTTGGTCCATCTGACGAATCCGATGAACCATTGCCAAAGCGTAGGCGCTCGAGATCGCAAGACTCGGGCGCTCACAGTGGTGTCGGTTCTCTTTTTGACACCACTTCGCAGCGAGGCACCAGTACTTCTGTCGGCACGTCGCAAGAAGAGCGGGACCGCAGCGTGTTGCGTCTCGCTCCCAAAAAGAAGGCATGGCTGCCTCCAAAGTCGGTCATGGATCGCTTGTAGGCGACGACAAGTGATCGCTATCGAACACGATTGTTCGATTCATCAAGGATCCATCACCTTGACCCCAGTGCGAAAGACTTTCACACTGAGCATACACTTTCATCGATGCTTTCTACAACCATCGATGGTACAGTGGGAATCACAAACGTGATGGTCCCTCACTGCTTCAAGCGTGGAACGCTTACATCTATAACCTTGAGGACGTAGGTCGTGACGTTTGGAACGACAAACTTATCAAAGCTCGTGAAAAGTTTGAGAAAGCGAACCCCGACAGGTGCACGCTATAATCTGCATCGTCTGTCTAAGGAGGGTGGGTTACCCTGTCTTTTCTAGGGAGACCCGTGCCCTTGTTGCGTAAACAACTCAGCGCGCGCACCTAAGGAGGCTTACCTCCTTACTAGCCCGTGGTGGCGCGTACGTATCTCTACAGAGATGTACGATGGGATTGAAAACCCGAAATTCCCTTTACGACCGTGCCGGGAAGACTTTCTCCGACGGTCCTTCTGCGGCACAGGATGTGCCGCGTTATACTGCTCAACCAGACCCAGTACGCCAAGTATCCCAGGAGGGGGATAATCGCGCCACCGGACGAGGTAGCTCGTCCGACGTCCGTTCACATCGCGTTGGTTCAACATCTGCTCTACCAGATAGCGCTGGCCATCGCGAGAGTCCTCTAATGGAGGTGGAGGAGGAGGGAAAGCGCTCTCCAAACTATCGTGGGGGAGTGTGCGTCTTCGAGAGCCTCTTTGATCGCGTAACTCTTGCGTTGCTCGGCGACCTCGAACATGATCGGAACAGGCGTCTTCAACTGGCGGACACTGTCTCGAAGCATCGAGCTGAGTTTGCATTTGCTCAGCTTGAGAACGAGAGAGCTTTGACGTATCTGCGTAACGAACTAAGGGCAGGTCGTGTGGATATTGACCGGTCTCGGGCTGAGATAACTGCTCTTCAGACCCTTGTTGATATCCAGCATCGAGAGCACAAGGCTCTCTGCGAGATGCTTGAGCGCAAGGGCGTTCTTCATCGGAAGAAATAGCGTACTGATGGTACGGCTTAAGCCGACCAACGTAAAACGTGGGATGCGTTCGCATCTTACGTGGAAACTCGATCGTGTATGCATTGCCTAGGAGGTGCAATACACGAAATGGGCCGATGTACTTGGGTAGTAGTTTACTCCTACCCAAGTTAGTCACTACATGCTTTGGTAGGTTAACCGTAGACAGTAGGACAAAGTCACCTTTATTAAATAAAAGAGTGTTTGCCCTTCCATTCTTGTCTGTGTTTTGCTTTTGCTTATCCACCAGTTCGTCGATGGAGTCTTGCATAAAACGGACTACCGTTTCACGAGCCAGTATGAACTCATCTGCTGACTCGTTAGCTTCATGCGCTGTGAGTGCACTGCAGCAACATCAACATTTTCTTCAGTGAGGGCTTCCGCGCCCTCTCACTGGTATCATCTTCTTCGATATCGATGTTGTCGATATCGGCATCAAATGCAATGACCTCATCGTCAGAGCGTGATGAGCGTGAACCAAATCGGTTTTTGCTCGCGCGAGTCCTTCCCCCCTTAAACCAGAGTTACACTCTAGTAAGGTGGGTACACGCGGATGGCGCAAGCTATTCACGTAAAACGGTGTATGTGGCGTGGACACTTGCACCGAATCGTCAATGGCAAATTCTACCATTGGCAAAAACTCACTTTCCAACTCTTAAAAAAGTGTACGTCTCCTCGAAGTATCTCTTCATGGACACGATTGGCTCGTTCCGTCTGACCATCTGACTCTGGATGATCAGATGTCGACATCTTAAAGCGCGTTCCGAGTGATTTGAACACGGAGCGCCAGAAATCAGCTGTGAAGCGTGGATCTCTGTCTGATACGAGTTCACGGGGAAACTCATGAAGTCGGAAGATGGTGTCGATAAAGACACAGGAACAGCCACTTGCTGTGATTGACTCTGGTACAGCCACAAGGTGTACCATTTTGCTGAATCTGTCATCAAATAAAAGAAAACCCGTATTCCCGCGTGCGTCTTTTGGTAACCCGAAGACGAGATCCATTGAGATGGATTCCCAGCACTCAGCCGGAACCGGTAGAGGCTGTAAAGGTGCACGCAGTGAAGGACTTGACTTCACTCTTTGACAGACTTCGCATGCGCGAACATACTTTCGCACAAACTGATACTGGCGGGGCCAGTAAAAGTCTCGACTCACCGTGAGATATGTTTTCTCCCGGCCACGATGTCCTCCTATAGGAGCATCGTGATACTCGAACATGATCTGCAAACGCAGATCAGTATCATCTGGAATGACAACACGTGGTGTGTCACCAGTAAAGGCTATATAATACAGTAACCCGTTGCGAGTAGTGTATCGATCTGATGCAGATCGATACGCAGGCGACAATCGTTTTAACGATTCTCGAGATGGTTGTGAGAGATATTTCAACGACTTCACAATCTCACCATCTTGGGCGTATGCCCGCCTCACATCATCATACAACGTTGTAGATGGGACTGAGGACGTCATAACCCCAACAGTGACTGTCACACTGTTGGGTTTCGCGACTGTTTCAAAGTCGGGACGACGTGAGAGTGCATCAGCGACGGCATTAAGTCGTCCTGGTTTCTTCTCGACGGAGAAGGTTTACTCCGCGAAGAAAGACAGCCACTTCGCCATCAATTGCGAGAGTTATGGACTGTTTACGACCGTGCGTAACGACGCATGGTCGGCATAAACGATGAAGAGCCTATCTGCTAAGAGATACACCCGAAACTTAGCCAGTGCATGTTTCATTGCAAGGCTTTCCTTGTCATGCACCGGGTAATTACGCATAGCTGGTTAAGCTGACGCGATTGATAGCAGACGACGCGCTCAACTCCTTCTGAATCGGACTGCATTAACGGGCAGCCGATTGCAAAATCGCTGGCGTCACAGACCACATGAAATGGCCTATCCTGATCTGCAATCACCAACACAAGCGATCGTATCAAGCTTCTCTTGATAAATTCGAAGGAGTGCTGACACTCAGCACTCCATGACCACCTCTCGTTTTTCTTTAGCGGACGAGATAGATGTACAGTCATCTTGGCATAGTTGCGCGAGTACTTGTGCAAATACGCTGCTAGCCCAAGGTATTTTTGAAGACCCTTGACTTCGACTGGCACAGGCCAGTTGGCGATCGCCTTGATCTTTTCGGGATCAGGACGTACACCGTTCTTACCAACGATGCACCCAAGAAGTAGGATTTCGCTCGCTGCGAAGATAAACTTCTTGATATTTGCATACAGTTGATGCTTTTCCATGGCTGTAAGAACCTGTCGGACGTGGTATCTGTGAACTTCAACGTCCGACTTTTCATCCATAGCCCGACTATGGATGAAAAAGTCATCGAAATAACTTGGCGCATATTCTCATACTGGTCTCAAACAGATGTGATACACATCTGTTGAACGTGGGAGGGGCATTATTAAGCTCTTGTGGCATTACTAGCCAGTCTTAGAGCATGCCACTAAGCGTGCTAACTGCGCTTTAGGGTATATCCCGTTCTAGCATAAGGATTTGATAGAAGCCATCCATCAAATCCATGGACGAAAAGATGGTACTCTTTGACATACCATCAATGATTACGTCCTTCCTTGGTTTTGGCGTCTGAGCCGGTACCGTTGCAGCATTCAACTTGTTAAATGCATGCACTATCCGCTATCCTCGTGTTGTTTTTCGCACACATAAGGTCGGAGAGATATGTGGGGAAGTTAATTCCCTCACATGGCCCGCAACTAAACGATCAGCAAAGAACTTGTCGATCGCAAGTACTTGTTCACGAGTCAGTGGCCACTGCTTCATGACACAGTACTTCGAGCCTGGTTTAAGCTCGACTTCGTGTCGAATACCTTTATCCTTCACTAATTCGCACGAAACGGTTTCAGGTAATACATCCTTGAATTCAACCAAATCTTCATAGAGAGGATTTGTCTTGAGCGATTCCCACGATTGGGAGTCATATCGCTCAACTCGTGTCTTTTCATCCAGGACACTCTCGTCCATTGATGAAGTACTGAGAACTCTCTCGTTCTCAGTAAGCATTGTTGCTGACCTTATGTCGGCTACACACTCGTCGTCAGCGACGAGTACGCAGATCTGCTTGACTTTGCCACTACGCATATCACCGAAGAATCTTTTATGTTCGAGCGTTGGCAACTGAGTGATCTCCGAAGTCAACTTCGGAGGCGCAATCAGATCAAGTGTATAAGCGCCTACGCTTGATCCGTTTTTGTCTATGACGTTCAATGTATCTGTCATTTCCTGGGGACTTATTCCCTCAGGCCTCGAAGGACTTATTCCTTCGGCTTCCCGGGGACTTATTCCCGCGGGTTTCGGGGAATTTATTTCCGCCGTATTTGTAATATCGGGACTTATTCCCTTAACTTCCTCTAGATGAGGTTGTGCAACCACAGCGAGATTCTCTACGAAAGACTCTCCAGTCGATCTAGGATTATCGTTTCGCTTAGCCTGAGCGATCGATTGTTTCTCTTCTTGATGTTCCCCGCTAGGGATACATCTTTGTCCCAGTCCACCCGACTTATTCGAGTGGTGGACCTTTGGCGCAGCCCGTGTTTCCTCACAGCCGCCGGAATCTTGCTCCGAAGTGTAACTGTTTGTTACACTAAGGTTTCTGTGCAGTCGTACTAACGACCGTACCACAAGTGAGGCCATCGCACTCACTCGTAGTACATCCACACGCTCGTGGACGCTCCAAAACGTTCATCAGATGGCCATCTGATGAACAAGCGGCAGGCATCGTTACCATTCGATGTTGCCAGTTTACCCGTGGTTCGTAACCTCTGAGCCACGGTATTCCAAGGATGACATCAAATTTGTCATCCAAATCCAATACGATAAAGTCATCGTCATATTGGGTATCTTCTAGCGTATAGTGGATCTTCACTATACGCTTCTTGACGGTTACGGATGCGCCTGTCGCAAGACGTAACGTCATCCTGGTAGGAGGTGTGTCACATTCACTGAACTTAAAGTGACCATCTGCTAGCGATTGGCGTCGCACAAAATTGTTGGACACCCCACAATCGACTAGAGCTCGAAGGGACAACTTATTTGTCACTTCAAGTTTCAAGGTAATGAGTGAGATCTCATTACCTAGAGCAGCAACGCACAATATTTGTGTGTTGGGAGCAACCTTCATCAAGAGGCCTACAAATTCTCTTGACGTTGCTGGACCAGTAGGGTGCACCGCACCTACTGATCCTGTCCGTTTTTTGACGGCCCATCCCGTTGTTGCGTCTTTGCACCAGCAGCGGACCCGCGTCCCTGCCCCTTTCTCATGGGTGGACGGTCACTACGCCCAGTGTTGCGAGACACTGGACGAGGGGCACTACACTCGTAAGCGTAGTGTCCTGTCTATTGACATCTGTTGCATTTCTGCTTCTTCTTGTAGTCTGTAGAGCGAGCCTTCTCGATCTCTACATAACAGAGTTCCATCGGCTCTGGACCTCCGCTGTCATATCGTCTCGGTTGACGATATGATGTCGAGCTGGCGCGAGCCTGTCTCATACTGAAGTCTTTCTGTTCCGCAATGGAAATGGCTTGTTCTATTGAATCTAGTTCAAGCCGGAACGGGTGAGTCTTGACGGGACCACCCGCAAGACCCTGCATGAACACCGAAACCAACGTGTGTTCATCAACCGGGTTGGAACTTATACAATTCGTGAGATGTCGTACATGTTGCGCGTAAGCGTGCACATCACGCTTACCCTGCTTGAGCTTCAAGAGTTCGGTTCGAGCTCTGAACTCAGCTCTAGGCGGCTCGAACGTTTGTCTGAGCCGCGACTTGATGACTTCCAACGACCCAAACGCATATGGGTCGTGCAACTTGAGCCCCAGTGCCCAAGTCTTGGCACGTCCTGCCAGATTTGACTGGGCAAATGCAACTTGCATTTCCCCGTCGTCGATGCGACGCGCCCTTATGGTGTCGTCTAATTCGACAAACCATCTCAAAAGAGAGTGCTCTTCGACTCCCCTATACTTGGAGATGTCAATCTTCAAGGTTTCGGGTCGACGCGAATGCATCGACCCACCAGCGCTGTCTCAACAGTTCAAACTATTGATCACCCTGTTCTCTCAACAACTATGATTGTTAAGAACCTTGTTGGTGAAGCAAGGCTACTTTCTCGCGTTCAGCGTCAAGTTCATTTTGAATGAACTTGGCGATAGTAGCATGTTGGGCATCTCTTTTGAGAGCCTCTAGCATGACGCTAACAGCATGGATGCCCATGGTCGAACCCATTCGTTCAACCGCATCCCATTCGACATCGCTCAAATGGGAGTAGCCGTCACGCGTAGCGTGAAAGCTTTGATCATCTTCATCATCTAAAAAATACATGTTAGATGTGAACGTGGTCCTTGGACGGACTACAAAGTGCTATCAGGGGTAACGGGGCACCCTCAAGCTTGTACTGATGACAGTACAAGCTACTTGTTCTGATGACAGAATGAGGTGGTACCGCGTAACTTCACGTACACTAGTACGTGCAGAGGAAGACGGTAAGGAGAAGTGAGTACTTGGTTAAAGTAAAAAGTAGAACTGTAAAATTATCATAGTTAATGTCTGGTAATAAACCACTATTCATCCTCATCTAACTATGTCTGAATACAAATGTGTAAATCAACTATCTGCTCACCACTCATTGCGTGCGTCTGTCGTGGCGTGTCTTCGTTGGTTGATATAATGGCATTTATCAACCAATTAGGAACTACTCGTAAGTGCTGCAGAATATTGTTCTTATGAGAATATTCTGAGAATATAACTCTTATAGTTATATTCTATCAACAATTTCTTATAAATTGTTATGCAACGATTCACCCCGTTACATTCTTCGCTCGTGGTGATGTATAGGTGCATCACCACCATCTTCACGCGCCCTATCGTTGGATGGACTCGCGTGAGGCGAATATCCGTCGGAACAAACGCTCGATCCGAAATCTCGGACATGATACCGCCACGTTGACTAGAGCCAGTCAACCGGGCTCTTGCAGTGTCCGCCCTGGTTGATCCGGAGGCGTGAGATATCGCCTTCGAGTCGGATGCATAATCTGACTAGCCAGAATAGAGCTCATTTCAAGGTTTATCTATATTGCGATTGGTGGTACCCACTGCAGACGCAGCGGATGTATCTGTCGCACGTGGTGACTCACTACGTGGACTGTTCGCAACAGGCACCACCTGTTGATGAATCGCAACAGCGGGCGAAGAATCACCTGCTGCTTAAGCAAACTCTCTTCGGCTTCACGCATGCGTGCAACCGCTTATCTTACAGCTGGAGAAGAACTCTCCTCGGCTTCACGCATGCGTGCAACCGCTTATCTTACAGCTGGAGAAGAACTCTCCTCGGCTTTACGCATGCGTGCAACCGCTTTTCTTGCAGCTTCGGCAGCAACTCGCTTGGATTTTGAAACCATGCGTTTGATTGGCAAATGAATGGAATTTGACCAACAAGTGCTCCCTTTCCCAAAGTGATCCAACGGTGGTCACCCTGTCCCATTCAATTCTATTCAATTAACGGGTGATTGATGGATAAGGGGGGTGATATTTCGGGTTAGCCCGTTACATGATATTGACACCAAACGGTGCAATAGGAATAATGTGTAGCATGACAATATCCTGCCAACATTATCCGGAATGGATAATATTGAAGGAATATAATCACCTTTTAGGATAATATACATGCGCTGCTCAAAGATTGGTTGATAAAAGATTTGTCAACCATAGATTACCGCTAATCGCTGCTAGACGCGCGCAATGAGTGGTGAGCAGGTTGTTGTCATACGACGACGTAGCTTAATATATTTAGATAAATACTAAAGTTATATTAAAAGCTTAACTATTTTAAATACAGTTCTCTGTTACCCTTTACTCAAACAAGTTGTTTGAGTAGATTAGCTTCCTCTGCACGTACTAGTGTACGTGAAGTCACGTGGCACCCGAACAAAGGGTGCCCCATCACACATAGTGTAGCGCTGAAAGGCGAGCTAGCGTAACTCTGTTACGGTGAATATTCGCGTGACCGTAATCAAGGGCTAATCAATTCAGTAAGTCAGACGTAACAGCACAAAGCGTTTGAAGGGCACAACATTAGAATAAGCATTCGATCGAAGCACAATGTCGGTAAATTCTTACCACATTAACTAGAGTATACCAGGACGTGGGGCATTTTTATTTTCCAGTTACCTGGGGCATTTTTTTTGCTTTCGTGATTAAATGGAGTATTTATTTATTTTACCGAAAATTAAATGTCGTCGACCGCATTTGTGGTAGACGGCGTTGATGAACGAGATTATCCTTTGTCTACCTTTTCTAACATTCGTCTCGTTAGAACGTAACGAATGCCACAAGTACCTTCAACACACAAAGATCTATCAGCATTTCACTTTTTAGCACACAAACACAACCCGTTTCCTAGCCACTAGCTACTAGAAATGGGACGTGAATCTACAGAACTTGGTTCAGTTCTATGGACTAGATTACTTACATCAACGGGCGAGCTCCGGAGCTTGCTCCTCCATCTCATAAGGATCATTCGATCTACCTGTAGAATTGTGCGTATACTACCTTGGACCTGCATGTCTTTTTGATTGATGCTGTTGGATCTGGCAAATGAGTTACTGCCATATCTGATTACGTCTCGAACTGCTAAGGATTGTAGTCCTGACCACACCTCCAAACCGTCGTCATGTTGCCCGAACAGCCAAATCATATGTCTGGTGCTCAGTAGTGTACGGAATAACTGACTCAATGTCTACCGATGTTCGCTCCTAAAATCCTTCGGTTGTATGATACATACTACGACTGGTAAGGGTAAGAGTATAACGATACGTATCCTACCAATTACGGCCGGTTGTACAGGATTGTAAAGCGACCAGCGGCGTGGCAACGTGCCGTTACGTGCTCGCAGTTCTGAAGTCGCACTACTGCAGCAAAGCCGTGCAAGTGCTCGCGGACCAGAAAGCATATTTGCAACAACGGGTTTCGAAGGCAAAAATGAGCAAACTCCACCCACGCTTCGAAACTAATGTTGCTGCCTACTGCAGGTATGTCCAGCAAGTCAACACGGCGCCAAGCTGGTTCTTCCACAACTCGTCGACGTCAAGCTGATTCTTCCATATCTTGTCGACGCCGAGCTGGTTCTTCCACATCTTGTCGCGATGAGGCTGTTTTTTTACTACAACTTGCCGGCGTCGAGCTGGTTCTCCCGCAACTTGTTCACACCAAACTGTACACTGAATGTTGAAGAACGCGATGGTTTGCATACGCGACACGGATTCAATGTTCCATCAAAGACGCGGGTCAGTACCTAAACAGAGCTTCGTCGTGTCTCTCATGAGCCGAAAGTACTGGCATATGGAGCAGCATAGACGTCACCACAGCGTAGACCATTTTATATTGTCAAACTATTTGTCTCAGACGAAGAGAGATCTACTGCTCCATCTGGAATTTACGTACGCATGTCTCGAATCCAAGCTGCTGGATGTCACACGTTGCAGCCCATCAATCGCGAGAGACCGGTCTCATAAGCACTACAAAACCGGCATCCTGGTTACTGTAGAAGCGAGGCCGAGATAATGTTCAGCTAGGACAACAGGGCGAATCGGCAACTCAACGAGCAACTCAACGAGTTGCCGATTCGCCCTGTTGTCCTAGCCGAAGTTTCCCGCTTGATTATTATCCTCACCGCGCAATCGGACACGTGTCATTGGCTCAATCTCTTCGCCGCCACATGATCGGCGGTGCAAGTGGGAGAGGTGCTGTTTGGGTACGCTGTGCCAACTCGCGTCAAGAACACCAACATGTGACAATACGTGCTTGAACGCGCGCTCGACTATGTTTCTCGCGGAGATCAGACGTCTTCCCTGTCCTATGTTTACGCTCGATAGCTCCGCCAGCTGTTCAAGCGATAGTGCGTACATCCGCCGTGACAACAATGCAAATTCCGGATTTCCGGATGGTGTGTTAAAGACGTCGGCTCGTTTCCCGCTGAACCCACGCGGTCATTCGAGCATACGTAAAGGAATGAAGAGCTTTCGTTGCTACAGTAACGTGCTCGCCTTTGCGTGCACCTCCTTGAAGATAGCGCTAGGCTGTGCATGCGAAAATGGGCACGACGCGGTTCTGTTAACTGATCGGCGATGAGCTGCTTGTCACAAGCAGGGACCAGATATTCGCGTCGACGATGGTACAAATGGACGGCACGTGCTTTGGCGCGCGATAACAAGACAACCATTTTCCAACTTCGATCGTCTCGACAACACCTTCGTAACGGACGATGAAGCTTCATCGTGTGTTCAGCATCTTTGCGGCTGGAGTGATCGGCCAAACCTCGGCCGCTTCCAGCATCACTTCGGATTCTTCGTTTCCAGGATGGAAACCTTGCCCGGCCTACACTTTTCCTGGCGAAGGTGAATACGAAGCCGAATGCGTGACCTACGATGCCCCGTTGTGTTACCCCGGTATCTGCGAGACACCGGCGAATGTGAACTCGACGATCAAGGTTTTCGTCAAGCGGTTGCGTGCAAAGGGGGGCAACGTGGACGACGCACCAAATGTGTGGATGATTCCAGAGATTGAATGTAGTGAAGGTAAGTGAAGGCTCTGGTTGTCCTACTCAATAGTTTGAGTCTAATCGAGGACTCGCGTATGTTGTTGCAGTGGAACATTCGATGGTGACGCTACACAAAAGCCTCGAAGGAGCAGTCAACGTGTACACGATGGATCTCCGCGGCAATGGACGCGGAACACTGCTCGATTGTGCATCAGGTCAAAGCACGACGAGCGTGTCGCAGTCGGAGAGCCCTGATTATTTGACGGACATTCCTGCGTGTGCTCAAATCCTGCAGGACCAGTATGGAGACCTCGCTTCGTTCTCGATCACAAGCGCTGCAACGGACATTTCATACTTCATCCACAAGCATACGAACGGCGCGAGTACAATTGTGTACGGTGTGAGCGGCGGAACGATGCAGGTCCAGCGTCTGATGCAATTGGATCCGCCGAGCGTGAACGGATACGTTTTGGACGGCGCCATGGCCTATGCAGTATCGCCTGCCAAGAAGACTTATTGGTCAGATTACGACGCTGATTTTGCTAGCGTGGGCGATGCTTTCATGAAGCTGTGCGCGCAAGACCGCGACTGCGCTTCTCACTTCAAAGCCACCAGCTTGTCTGCCACGCTTCACCGTTTGCTCCAGAACTTCGACAGCAATCCCAACTCGACCTGCGCCTCGTTGGTATCAAACTCATCAGAGTTTGGGCCAGCCGTCGTCTTACAGACTACACTGGGTAGTCTCCTGTTGAATTCAAGCACGCGGTCCTTGATTCCGCCGTTGGTGCACAGACTCAATCGATGCGATTATAACGATGTCAACGTCCTGAAGGTATTCTTCGCGACCAACAACGAACAGGCCTCATTACCGAACAAGGCCGAAGCCTACGTTTCAGGTTTTTACTGTTTTGTGGAAATGTTTTCCGAGATGTGGAAGACACCTTCACCTACGTACGACGATCTATTCACTCGAGCGAGAACCCTGAGCATGACGGACGACATGACTTCCTGGTACGTTTCGTATTATTGTCTGTACTCGAATGAACGGTCGCCGGCGTGTGATGAAATGGGATTTGACAAGTACGAGGCGAACCCCCTGACATACCGGCGTGACAAGTTTTGGGGCAAGACTGCTACCGTTTCCAGCCATGCCAGCGTGCTACAGTTACATGGAAGGTTGGACCCAAAGAACCCTTACAAGCATGGAGAATCATTTTTCAAGGCGCTCGACACTTCGAACAAGGAACTCATTGCCTTTGACTACGCGCCGATGGTGACAATCGAAACGACCCCGTTTGGAGACGATGGCAAGAACTGCGGCATGGAGTTGCTACTTTCGTTCGTTCGCAGCAACGCTGACCTCAAACGCGTCGACAAGTCTTGCGTGGGTGAAATGCCTGCGTTCAACATGAAGGTGGCTCCTGAACTCGTGTCTACCTACTTCGGCACCGAGGATGTGTACGACGGTGTCCCAGCCCGTGCCGAGCACAACGGAAGAGTGAAACCGGCGTTTTGAGGATGCATGGAGGCGAAGGCAAGCACTAACGCTCTAGCTCACTAAGCTTTAAACTGCAAATAAAGATGCACTGAACATTGAACTTGAGTTTGTTCCTCTTTCAAAAGTAGTTGTAGGCACCTCAATTAGATTCGCGCACGGCGCGCGCTCGTACCTGCATTTTGTCGCGTGCACTTACGCATGTTTGTACAGTCCGGGCCGTACATATAAAGCCTCCAGTACTTTTACTTCCAACTCTACAATTACTAAGAGTTGGGCGCTGCTTTTTGAGTCAATGATGCGCAAAGCTTTTTGACATATCTCAAATGTGGTAACGCTCCGATTTTTGCATTACCGCTATAGCTCACATACAACAAACAGTTTTTGGCACCCGGTCAAAAAATATGTGGCCAAACATACACAGTTTAAGCACAAAGGAATTCTTGTTTAACGCTCAGGGTCGTCAATGTTGACAAGGTACGCCGTATAAATGTATTTTATGGATGCACGTTTGTTGGATATTGGTAATCGGGTGTGACTCACTTTCGTAAGAACATAAGGTAAGCATACATAAGGTACAGCTGTCATCCGGTAAAGTGATTACTAGAAGATTACCAGGTAGTGATAAGGACGTTGGGACGACAATGTTTCTTGTACGATCGAAATGAATTGTAGATATAGAACTTAGATGTAATATAGTTAGCATGAAAACTAAGGATCTCAATCAATAAACTACTTCGGCATTTGCCTTCAACTCAACAGCTAAACCATCTATAACCCTCAAATTTGTAAGATGCGTGAAGTAAGTCAAAGGTTCTTGCCTGGCTTTATGACGCAGTTGTATGAGGAGCTTGCCTGGCTTTATGACGCACTTATCTAAGGCAAAGTGATCTACGACAACGATAGTTAGCTGAGTCTGTTGCTGGACGGTTGCCCTAGCATCTACGATTATAGCAGCACCATGAGGTGCTACAGCACTTCAACCACGATTGATGGTGCTGGAGTTAACACACCCGGGAAGGATATTAGATTACAACAGGTAACTACATCACAGAGGTGGGGTGAGATCGAAGGCACATCAAGACCTTGGATGACGAAGGAAAGACAGATGTCCGCACATGTGTAGGACGAGAAAAGGAAGTAAAATGCGGAGAGTAGTGGCAAGCTACTAATCTCTCAAACTACTAAGTCATCATAGAGCCAAGTTTACAACTTAAAAGTTTACACTCCTTGCACTATGTACAGATATTTGTCGTAATATAGTCTTCACAAGGATGGCATAGCTCTGGTGTGGTACATCAGAACAACCTCCGTGAGAACCATTCGATCAGGTAGCAAAGTTTTCAGGTTAAATACGTAAGTGAGGTTTATTAGCGCATTCATTTCATTAATACATTCAGTTCCCCTTTTGGTCAGTTTTAAGAAGTGCCTACTATAAGAGTTGAGAGCCTGTATTGAGGCTGGTACCCTTGGTCATTATTGCCACGCGATTTCTTGAAGCCATTAGTCCCTTGAACCGGGACTAGAAGCTTCGCTTGTTCAGATACTTAGAGTTAGGTCTCACAAAGACTGCAAGACTCGAGACACTTTAAATATATACCCGTTTAGTCTGATATACAAAGAGACTCTACGAGTCTGTAAGTCTTCCACTGACAATGAAGTGAGGGTAGCTCCAATACAGTACTGCAACGTTAATCGCCATGTCCGATGTTTTTTTGTACCGACGAACCTAAAGTCAATCTTTGGCGCAAGCTCATATGACAGCAGCAGAGAATCCGACGAGGTGGTGTATCAGGCGGACGTCGACGCTGCAGTCGTTAGCGCAGTCAATTGCTGGAGTACAGGATGATCTTCGGGCGATGTACGATCAAGAGAGTCCTGTTGGTTCCGGTCAAGGTCTCAACATCGTGCTACTCCAGCCTCAAATCGACGGTCTGACTGTTTAAATTGTAACGATGCATCTGAATACACCTGTAGGTTTCCACATTTGGTGAAGATGGTGGAGCAGAGTTGAGACTAACATCGCCATTGCTCGATTGTGACCATGCCTATGGCGTTACCAGGTACGCCATGTTCTATGGCGCCTGCATTTCAAATGGCGCCTCGGCCACCAATCGCCAATGCTTTCGTGTATTGGCGATTCAACACCAGGTAACGCTACCCTTATAACGACCTCGGACTAATCCTTTGAAGACTCTGGGTGTTGCAGAGTTGCAACCGATGTCGCTATCTACTGGACAAACACCCTAAAGATGATGTTGATGATCAAGTCCATGGCCAACGGGCCATCCAAGTCGTTCCAGGACAACTAAAAAATATGGAGATTAAATAAATCAAAGTTTTTCTCCTACAATAATTTAAGTAAGTGTACTTTACACAGTACGGATGACACCTGCGTGGCACCGCAATCGTCAAAAGCTTACGTAAGACAAAGGAAAAACACCTCACATGGCTCTAAAAATCAGATTACCAACTGGAACTGAGGAGACTACTGAATGCGAATGATCGTACGGTGCTGAAAATCGTTCGAATTGAACGCATGTACTGAAGAGAAGTCAATTATTCTTGGTTTGGTCACCCTTACTGCCACAAATTCACAATCTGAACTGAAAAAATCGTTTTAGTGTCACATGAAAAGTGATGGCGACTTGAATGACAAGGGTCAGAATGTATAAGGTATTAGAAAGGTTGCAAAGAATGAGAGGAAAACAATACCGACTTCACTAGGATACGACACCATGACAAAAACCCACCTAATAATAGCATGTGAAGGACGCAGTTGTCACCTATGCCAAAAGGCTGTCTGTAACGGGGCACCCTGAAGCTTGTACTGGTGACAGTACAAGCTACTTATTCTGATAACAGAATAAGGCGGTGCCTCGTAACTTCACGTACACTCGTACGTGCAGAGGAAGACGGTAAGAAGAAGCGAGTACTTGGTTAGAGTAAAAAGTAGAACTGTATTTATAATAGTTAATGTCTGCAATAAATCACTATTTATCTTCATCTAACTATGTCTAAATACAAATGTGTAAATCAGTTATCTGCTCACCACTCATTGCGTGCGTCTGTCGTGGCGCGTCTTCGTTGGTTGATATAATGGCCTATATCAACCAATTAGGAACTACTTGAAAGTGCTACAGAATATTGTCCTTATGACAATATTCTGAGAATATAACTCTTATAGTTATATTCTATTAACAATTTCTTATAAATTGTTATGTAACGATTCACCCCGTTACATCACCCCCCCCTTAACCATCAGTCACTTTAGTGACTGATTGACTAAATGGATACTCGTCCCAAATCATTTGGGACGGGGTTTGCACTTGTTGGTCCGCGTCCACTTTCCAACATCTCATCGCATGGTAAACAAGCCCATGCGATGCGCGAGCAAGGCCGCCGAGAGCGCGTCTGCACGTCTCTGTGCGGACGCCGAAGCATAAACTACAGCAACTGATATCCCATCGGTTGCTGAATCGACTCAGCCTGTATCACCTGGTGATGCAGGCGCTGGTCATGAAGACACTCGTGTCTTCACAGAGTACGAGCTCGGTGTCTCGTACTCTCCTGATACGGATGACGGATCCGTATCGACGGCAATTGAATCCAAGCCGCCTGCCAAGCGTGGCATGGACGATGCTTTGCGTCGCAGCATCTTTGGTTCATCTGATGAGTCAGATGAACCATCGCCGAAGCGAAGGCGCTCGAGGTCGCGAGACTCGGGCGCTAATAGTGGTGTCGTTTCTCCAATGGACACCACTTCACAGCGAGGTGCCAGTACTTCTGTCGGCACGTCGCAGGAAGAGCGGGACCGCAATGTGTTGCGTCTCGCTCCAGAAAAGAAGGCATGGATGCCTCCTAAATCTGTCATGGATCACTTGTCGGCGACGACGAGTGATCGTTATCGAACACGATTGTTCGATTCGTCGAGGATTCATCACCTTGACCCCAGCGCGAAAGACTATCGCGCTGAACATGAGTTCTTCATCGATGCTTTCTTCAGACATCGATGGTACAGTGGGAATCACAAACGTGATGGTCCCTCACTACTTCAGGCGTGGAACGCCTACATCCATAATCTCGAGGATGTAGGTCGTGACGCTTGGAACGACAAACTTATCAAAGCTCGTGATAAGTTTGAAAAGCGAACCCTCGACAGGTGCACGCTATAAGCTGCATCGTCTGTCAAGGGAGAAAGGATTACCCTGCCTCTCTTGGGGAGACTCGTGCCCATGTTGTGTGAACAACTCTGCACGAGCACCTAAGGAGGCTTACCTCCTTAGCAGCCCGTGGTGGCGCGTACGTGTCTCTACTGAGATGTACGAAGGGATTGACAACCTGAAATCCCTTTACGACCGTGCCGGGAAGACTTTCTCCGGCGGTCCTTCTGCGGCACAGGATGTGTCGCGTCGTACTGCTCGACCAGACCCAGTACGTCAACCATCAATTGGGAGCGGGGCTCCCAAGAATCCCAGGACGGGGGATAGTCCGCGCCACCGGACGAGGTAACTCGTCCGACGTCCGTTCACGTCGCGGTGGTTCAACAGCTGCTCTACTAGATAGCGCTGGCCACCGCGAGAGTCCTCTAATGGAGGTGGAGGAGGAGGAAAGACGCTCTCCACACGATCATGTGGATCGGTGTGTTCCCGAGAGTTCTTTGATCGCGTAACGCAAGGGTTACGCGACGATCTCGAGCATGAGCGGAATAGGCGTCTCCAGATGGTGGACACTGCCTCGAAGCATCGAGCTGAGTTTGCCTTTGCTCAGCTTGAGAACGAGAGATCTCTGACATCTTTCGTGACGAGCTAAGGGTAGCTCGTGGGATTGTTGATCGGTCTCGGGATGAGATAGCTGCTCTTCAGACCCTTGTTGATGCCCACCATCGGGAGCACAAGGCTCTCTGCGAGATGCTTGAGCGCAAGGGCGTTCTTCATCGGAAGAAGCAGCGTACTGATGGTACGGCTTAAGCCGACCAACGTGGGATGCGTTCGCATCTTACGTGGTAACTCGATCGTGTATGCATTGCCTAGGCGGTGCAATACACGAAATGGGCCGATGTACTTGGGTAGTAGTTTACTGCTACCCAAGTTAGTCACTACATGTTTTGGTAGATTAACCGTAGACAGTAGGACTAAGTCACCTTTATTAAATAAAAGAGTGTTTGCCCTTCCATTCTTGTCAGCGTTTTGCTTTTGCTTATCCACCGCTTCGGCGATGGAGTCTTGCACAAAACGGACTACCGTTTCACGAGCCAGTATGAACTCATCTGATGACTCGTTAGCTTCAGTGTGCTGTGAGCGCACTGCAGCGACAACAACCTTTCTTCAGTGAGGGCTTCCGCACTCTCACTGGGATCATTGTCTTCAGTGAGGGCTTCCGCACTCTCACTGGCATCATCTTCTTCGATATCGATGTTATCGATATCGGCATCAAACGCAATGACTTCTTCGTCAGAGCGTGATGAGCGTGAACCAAATCGGTTTTTGCTCGCGCGAGTCCCTCCCCCTTAAACCAGAGTTACACTCTAGTAAGGTGGGTACACGCGGATGGCGCAAGCCATTCACGTAAAACAGTGTATGTGTCGTGGACGCATGCACCGAGTTGTTGATGGCAAACTCTACCATCGGCAAAAACTCACTCCAACTCTTTAAAGGAGTGTACGTATCCTCGAAGTATCTCTTCAAGGACACGATTGGCACGTTCCGTCTGACCATCTGACTCTGGATGATCAGATGTCGACATCTTCAAGCGCGTTCCGAGTGATTTGAACACGGAACGCCAGAAATCAGCAGTGAATCGTGGATCTCTGTCTGATACGAGTTCACGGGGCAACCCATGAAGTCGGAAGATGGTGTCAATAAAGACACAAGCACAGCCACTTGCTGTGATTGTCTCTGGTACAGCCACAAGGTGTACCATTTTGCTGAATCTGTCAACAAATACGAGAATACCCGTATTCCCGCGTGCGTCTTTGGGTAACCCGAAGACAAAATCCATTGAGATGGATTCCCAGCACTCAGCCGGAACCGGTAGAGGCTGTAAAGGTGCACGCAGTGAAGGACTTGACTTCACTCGTTGGCAGACTTCGCATGCGCGAACATACTTTCGCACAAACTGATACTGGCGGGGCCAGTAAAAGTCTCGACTCACCGTGAGATATGTTTTCTCTCGGCCACGATGTCCTCCTATAGGAGCATCTTGATACTCGAACATGATCCGCAAACGCAGATCAGTATCATCTGGAATGACAACACGCGGTGTGTCACCAGAAACGGCTGTATAGTACAGTAAACCGTTACGAGTAGTGTATCGATCTGATGCAGATCGATACGCAGACGACAATCGTTTCAACGATTCTCGAGATGGTTGGGAGAGATGTGACAACAACTTCACTATCTCACCATCTTGGGCGTATGCCCGCCTCACATCATCATACAACGTTGTAGATGGAACTGAGGACGTCATAACCGCAACAGTGACTGTCTCACTGTTGGGTTTCGCGACTGTTTCAAAGTCGGGACGATGTGAGAGTGCATCAGCGACGACATTAAGTCGTCCTGGTTTGTACTCGACCGTAAAGTTGTATTCTGCAAAGAATGACAACCACCGCGCCATTCGTTGCGAGAGTTATGGACTGTTTACGACCGTGCGTAAGGACGCATGGTCAGTGTAAACAACGAAGGGTCTATCTCCTAATAGATAGACTCTGGACTTCGCGAGTGCATACTTCATGGCAAGGAGTTCCTTGTCATGCACTGGATAGTTCCGCTCAGCTGGTTGCAGCTGACGCGACTGATAGCAGACGACGCGTTCAACGCCTTCAAGGTCGTACTGCATTAATGCACAGCCGATTGCGAAATCGCTGGCATCACAGACCACATGAAATGGCCTGTCCTGATCGGCTATTGCTAGGACTGGGGATTGTATCAAGCTCTGCTTGATACCCTCAAAGGAGCGTTGACATTCAACGTTCCATAACCACCTCTCGTTCTTTTTCAACAAACGAGAGAGGTGTACAGTCATCTCGGCGTAATTGCGTGAATACTTATGCAAATACGCCGCTAGCCCAAGGAATTTTCGAAGACCTTTGACATCGACCGGCACGGGCCAGTCGGTGATCGCCTTGATCTTTTCGGGATCAGGACGTACACCGTTCTTACCAACGATGCACCCAAGAAGTGGTATTTCGCTTGCTGCAAATATACACTTCTTGAGGTTTGCATACAAATTGATGCTTTCGCATGATTGTAAGAACTTGTCGGACGTGGTACTTGTGAACCTCAACGTCCGACTTTCCATCCATAGCTCGACTATGGATGAATACGTCATCGAAATAACTCGGCGCGAATTCTCGTACTGGCCTCAACAGATGTGATACACACCTGTTGAACGCGGCAGGGGCATTACTGAGCCCTTGTGGCATTACTAGCCATTCCCAGAGCATGCCGCTAGGCGTGCTAACTGCGGTATAGGGTATATCCTGTTCCGCATTAGGATTTGATAGAAGCCATCCATCAAATCCATGGACGAAAAGATGGTACTCTTTGACATACCATCAATGATTACGTCCTTCCTCGGTATCGGCGTCTGAGCCGGTACCGTTGCAGCGTTCAATTTGTTAAACGCGTGCACTATCCGCCACCCTCCTGTTGCTTTTCGCACACAGAAGGTCGGAGAGCTATGTGGGGAAGTTGATTCCCTCACATGGCCCGCTGCTAAACGATCGGCAAAGAACTTGTCGATCGCAAGTACTTGTTCACGAGGCAGTGGCCACTGCTTCATGACACAGTACTTCGAGCCTGGTTTAAGCTCGACTTCGTGTCGAATACCTTTATCCTTCGGTAATTCGCACGGAACAGTTTCAGGGAATACATCCTTGAATTCAACCAAATCTTCATAGAGAGGATTTTCCTTGAGCGATTCCCATGATTGGGACTCATATCGCTCAATTCGTGTCTTTTCATCCAGGACACTCTCGTCCATAGATGAACTACTGAGAACTCTCTCGTTCTCAGTAAACACTGTTGCTGACCTTATGTCAGTTACATACTCGTCTTCAGCGACGAGTACGCAGATCTGCTTGACTTTGCCACTACGCATATCACCGAAGAATCTTTTATGTTCGAGCGTTGGCAACTGAGTGATCTCCGAAGTTAACTTCGGAGGCGCAATCAGATCAAGTGTATAAGCGCCTACACATGATCCGTTATTGACTATGACATTCAATGTCTCTGTCATTTCCTGGGGACTTATTCCCTCAGGCTTCGAAGGACTTATTCCTTCGGCTTCCCGGGGACTTATTCCCGCGGGTTTCGGGGAACTTATTTCCGCCGTATTTGTAATCTTGGGACTTATTCCCTTTACTTCCTCTAGCTGGGGTTGCGCAACCACAGCGAGATCCTCTACGAAAGACTCTCCAGTCGATCTAGGATTATCGTTTCGCTTAACCTGAGCGATCGATTGTTTCTCTTCTAGATGTTCCCCGCTAGGGATACATCTTTGTCCCAGTCCACCCGACTTATTCGAGTGGTGGACCTTTGGCGCAGCCCGTGTTTCCTCACAGCCGCCGGAACTTTGCTCCGAAGTGTAACTGTTTGGTACACTAAGGTTTTGTGCAGTCGTACTAACGACCGTACCACAAGTGAGGCCATCGCACTCACTCGTAGTACATCCACACGCTTGTGGACTCTCCAAAACGTTCATCAGATGGCCATCTGATGAACAAGCGGCAGGCATCGTTACTGTCCGATGTTGCCAGTTTACCCGTGGTTCGTACCTTCTGAGCCACGGTATTCCAAGGATGACATCAAATTTGTCATCCGAATCCAATACGATAAAGTCATCGTCGTATTGGGTATCTTCTAGCGTATAGTGAATCTTCACTATACGCTTCATGACGGTTACGGATGCGCCTGTCGCAAGACGTACCGTCATCCTCGTAGGAGGTGTGTCACATTCACTGAATTTAAAGTGACCATCTTCTAGCGATTGGCGTCGCACAAAATTGTTAGACGCCCCACAATCGACTAGAGCTCGAAGGGACAACTTATTCGTCACTTCGAGTTTCAAGGTAATGAGTGAGATCTCATTACCTAGAGCAGCAACGCACAATGTCTGTGTGTTGGGAGCAACCTTCATCAAGAGGCCTACAAATTCTCTTGACGTTGCTGGATCAGTAGGGTGCTCCGCACCTACTGATCCTGTCCGTTTTTTGACGGTCCATCCCGTTGTTGCGTCTTTGCACCAACTGCGGACCCTCGTCCCTGCCCCTTTCTCATGGGTGGACGGTCACTACGCCCAGTGTCGCGAGACACTGGACGAGGGGCACTACACTCGTAAGCGTAGTGTCCTGTCTTTTGACATCTGTTGCATCTCTGCAACTTCTTGTAGCCTGTAGAGCGAGCCTTCTCGCTCTCTACATAACAGAGTTCCATCGGCTCTGGACCTCCGTTGTCATATCGTCTCGGTTGACGATATGATGTCGAGCTGGCGCGAGCCTGTCTCAGACTGAAGTCTTCCTGCTCCGCAATTGAAATGGCTTGTTCTAGTGAATCTAGTTCAAGCCGGAACAGGTGAGTCTTGACGGGACCATCCGCAAGACCCTGCATGAACACCGAAACCAACGTGTGTTCATCCACCGGATTGGAACTTATACAACTCGTGAGATGTCGTATATGTTGAGCGTAAGCGTGCACATCACGCTTACCCTGCTTGAGCTTCAAGAGTTCGGTTCGAGCTCTGAACTCAGCTCTAGGCGGTTCAAACGTTTGTCTGAGCCGCGACTTGAAGACTTCCAACGACCCAAACGCATATGGGTCGTGCAGCTTGAGCCCCAGTGCCCAAGTCTTGGCACGTCCTGCCAGATTTGACTGGGCAAATGCAACTTGCATATCCCCGTCGTCGATGCGACGCGCCCTTATGGCGTCATCCAATTCGACGAACCATCTCAAGAGGGAGTCTTCTTCGACCCCCTATACTTTGAGATGTCAATCTTCAAAGTCTCGGGCCGACGCGAGTGCATCGACCCGCCAGCAGCAGCCTCGCTGCTGTCTCAACAGTTCAAACTGTTGAGCACCTTGTTCTCTCAACAACTCTGCTTGTTGAGAACCTTTGTTGGTGAAGCAAGGCTACTTTCTCGCGTTCTGCGTCAAGTTCATTTTGAATGAACTTGGCGATAGTAGCATGTTGGGCATCTCTATTGAGAGCCTCTAGCATGACGCTAACAGCATGGATGCCCATGGTCGAACCCATTCGTTCAACCGCATCCCATTCGACATCGCTCAAATGGGAGTAGCCGTCACGCGTAGCGTGAAAGCTTTGGTCATTTTCATCATCCAACATATTCATGTTGGATGTGAACGCGGTCCTTGGACGGACTACAAAGTGCTACCAGGTGTAACGGGCACTCTGAAGCTTGTACTGGTGACAGTACAAGCTACTTATTCTGATAACAGAATAAGGCGGTGCCTCGTAACTTCACACGTACACTCGTACGTGCAGAGGAAGACGGTAAGAAGAAGCGAGTACTTGGTTAGAGTAAAAAGTAGAACTGTATTTATAATAGTTAATGTCTGCAATAAATCACTATTTATCTTCATCTAACTATGTCTAAATACAAATGTGTAAATCAATTATCTGCTCACCACTCATTGCGTGCGTCTGTCGTGGCGCGTCTTCGTTGGTTGATATAATGGCCTATATCAACCAATTAGGAACTACTTGGAAGTGCTACAGAATATTGTCCTTATGACAATATTCTGAGAATATAACTCTTATAGTTATATTCTATTAACAATTTCTTATAAATTGTTATGTAACGATTCACCCCGTTACACTGTCCACGTAAACAAGTTTTGTCCAAACAGACGTCGCCAGCAAGACACATTCATCCCGTTTCAGAAATTAAAAGGAACAATTTACGTTTCCAGTACGGCAGTCCAATGTGATGATACTATTCATCTTGCGCCATGCTGAACAGCTAGAGTTAATTAAGTGCTAGCAGGACAAGATACTATGTGGCTGCTCAAATCTGGAGCAAGCCAATGCATCACGGACGACCACACGATTCTACGAGATGGGCGGTCATGTGCTTGGACTTTACCGCTGCAAACAAGATTGTTCTTTTGGTACGGAGGTTGGTGACGTGACAATCATACCACTTGTGAACACGAATACGCAAAATACAGCTGTCAAGGAAGTTCTTCATATTACATTAGCAAACGGTAATATGCTATCATTCTCGACACTGGCAGAGCGTGGAGTCCTGGTCTGCCAGTATCGAAACTGAGTGATGGATTTGCAGATTGTACTACCAAGTGGAGACTATGGTACAGCTTGGGACAGTCAATGTGCCGACACAACGGCTGATATACTGACGGGGTGGTACAAGCGACTAGATAATCTGAAAACGACCGATGTAATGCGCATGAACAGTCATGACATCATGATAGGGATGCGTGTCAAAAATCCGAAAGTCCACCCTTGCAAAGTATGCATCAAAGCCAAACAATCACGATCGATTTAGTCAACTGCTTATTGCGCTACTCACGCGATCAATTGATTAAAGGGCTGATAGCGCAACAAACGCAGTCAAGTAAAAAGTCGGCGCAGTACTTTGTATTCACGTCTAGGTCCACTTAATCTCCGCGGCTTGAAAGGTAAGATCATGCATTACACACCGTAGACCACGCCAACGGATATGGCGACGTCTTGCCATTAAGACCAAGAACCAATGACACCCACTACTTTTCCAATTCCATAACACCTTTTGAGCAACAACACGAACTATCGTTCAATCCGTGGTGACGGCGACTTTGAGATACAGAAGATGCGCATGTGGTCCAATAAACACATAGCTAGAATGTAAATTCACGAAAACTGATGAAATGCCGTCGAATGGTAGGGTTGAACAACTTCATATAATTTAAGATTTTAGAGCGGTAGTTTTATACGCTCCAGATGTCACGAGATCACCGTTGTGGTTATACAATTTAGCATGAATTATGATCGTGGGAGTTACCTTGCAGCACTAGCCAATCCTGAAGCATTTCATCGACCGAAATGATAACAGGACTAAAACAAATTTGTCGGCATTGATGCCATGGGGACAACTTGTCAGCACACGCACCAAGTGTTATACCACGTGCACATGCTTTAAGGGTGAGACAAAAATCTTAATCGGGTACAACATTAAGCGGAAAGGTGCATCGTGTTATCCAAGACGTCACAGAAGGTGATTCATGCTTAACACGTAAAAAAATCGATCGTTTATGCAACATGTTTACAAGCGGTTAATTGAACTGGTTATGTAGTGTGTCCACACCAAGTAAAGATCGGTGGATCTGAGTGATGCATTCTTGGTACCACGTACTTACGGTAATACCGCACTTATAGAGTAAGGAAAAGTGATCAGACTTCTGTCATGAGATGGTAATGTATAAATCAGTCAGGCAAGGTTTTAGGGTTTCATTACCGTAGTTAAAACAATGAATAAAGTTCAGTTCCCCTTTTGAATCGTTGGACTCTAGTACCTAGTCAAGGCTTAGCGTGTTGTCAGAGTGTAAGTGTAACGGGGTTGCACGAAATCATGGTACTTTGTACCAGAGGTGTTACACACCTGAGGGTTCGCTTCTGTGAAGGTGATATAGAATATCTTATCGGTTTGTAGGGGCTGACGAGTGTCATCCATTAGGTACGAGAGATCTTTGAGTAGGAATAAGATATTCTATAAGCGTTAACAGAAATAAAATCAGTTCCCATTTTGATCCAAAGGACACGTGGCTTGCGAGCCGTCTTGATCGTTGATCACTGATCACAAAGAGTTAGCGACACCTCCTTGAGGTAGCTACTCTTGAGCACTGAGTGCTGTCGATTCACTGAATCGTTAGGTCCCCTGGAACAGGGATCTGAAGCTGTAAAGCTTGTTGACTCGTAAAGTCGTTGGTTCTTTGGAACTAAGTTGCTCGTAGAGCGTTAAGTCTTCCTCTGACTCAAGGAGCTGTGTAGCTCCGCTACACTTGGTAGCACTTGTTGTCAATCTACGCATGAGTCTTTAAGACTGATCCTCTGTGAGGATGGAAAACTCCACTCCCCTATCTGAGGCCCAAAAGGTCGCGCTTGATAAGCTGACCGCATCTTTGGGTCCAGAGTACGTGGAGTTCCTTGTTTCACAAGGTCCTGAAGTGTTTAATGCACGTGTTGAAAGCTTCATGCAGTATGAAGCGACCCTTTTAGGGCAGGTCCAAGACCAAATAGCGTCGGCTATGCCTACACGCTACGTGTATGTACCAGACGAAGAGGCTAAGCCTCGTCCACTTAGAGTGGAAGTAAAAAACTACTCCGGTAAGGAGGGCGAGAACCTCATCCTCTGGATCCGTGAGATCGAGATGGCCATGAGATCAGGCCTGATCATGCTTGACCATCAACAGGTCTCGCTGGATATCTCGAAGCTCGATAATGGAGCTAGAGAATGGGCCTTGACGTGTAGCACGTCGGTGTACATAGCATTTCCCACATAGGAGTCGCTCAAGTTACAATTGGTACAGGTGTTTTCTCCACCTAAACAGGCTTACCGCGTGCGTTCACGCTTTCTTTCTACCCGCCAGGGTAAGAATGAATTATCGAACTATGTCCAAGAGCTGCGAACGCTCATGGCTGCAATGCAGTCTGACCCTTTGCCTGAAGCAGTCCATGTGACTATCTTCATGGAAGGTCTACGTACTGGCATTGCCAGAACCGAAGTTTTCGGGTTCACCCCTCTACGTTTGAAGAGGCTGTGAGAATTTCTCTTAATGCTGAGCATAACTTCAAGTCGGCCAGACTCGGTTGGCATGGATACAATCCTCGCTCTGTGAGAGCAAACTATTCGGGTACCACTGCCTATAATAGGCCGGAACCGATGAATCTCAGCTATGCTGAAGATGGAGGTGAAGGTAAGCTTCAAGCTGCTGAGCAGAAACACGTTGTAAGACGATGCTTTACGTGCGGAAGCACTAAACACTTGCGGCCTGGTTGCCCTTTGCGTAAGCAACGCCAGGCTACGAGCCAACACTCGACCCCGAGTCAGAAGTATGGCATGGCACGGGGAAATGCCGACACCCAGTAGGCGCGGGGCACCCTACTGGGGAAGAACTAGGTTCTGTTACACCTTTAGAAGGTAAAGGAATGCAGGGCTTAGCCCCAAAGAGTACCATACCTACAGGTATGGTGCGTGGACACAAGTCTGGCTTGCTGGTCGCCGAGGCGAAAATTAAGGGCTTTGAGAAGCCTTGGTCAATATTGATCGATTCTGGAGCGTCTTGCAATTATGCTCGACGCCGTTCCCTTGAGGGAAGTCAGAGTTATTCTGAGGCGCTTACAGCGCATGAGGGTGATTCTATCACGGTTCGTTTAGCGAACGGAAGTCGCGTAACTGTGCCTAAAGTTCCATTGAACTAAAGTGGGGTAAAACCGCTAATGCAACACTGGTCACCAATTTTCCTTCGTCATCATTGCTTGGAGACATCACAAATGCCTACGTATATGTCTTGGCTCTTCTGCAACTAGTAGATCATCTGCTGACCTCATCTCGTATATAAAAAAAATATCAACCGGCCTTGCATAATTCCTCTGCGGACCGATACACAACACGCAACGGTTTGCTAAACTAAACAGCAGTGCCGGTGACACAACTCGTGTTGTCATTCCCACTCGCAACGATTCGCGCCTGCGCGTCTTTTATGAGTGTCATTTTGCACCTTTAAATGGGCATCGTGGGCGAAAATTAAGCTGTTTCACGGTGATTCGTGACTTTTACTGGCCTCGACAGTAACATTTTGTGCGCAAATACATTCGTTCTCGCGAGGTGTGCCAATGGGTGAATCCCATTCTATCATCCGGTGCGCCAAACAGCCTCTTCCGATCAATTCAAAGTTATGGTAGTCCGTTTTAATGGACATCTTCTTCAATTTCTCCGAAGATGCTCACAAGAAAATATTGTTCTTGTGTTCTTCAATCGTTTCAAGCAAGGTAGTACATCTTGCTGCCGTTCAGGGTTTAACCCAGAAAGGGCTGTGACCGTGTCTTCATTGAAATAGTATGTCGACTTCACAGTCTGCCCCTTGAACTAGTCTTTGGTAAAGATCCTCGATCTTTTAAGGTGTTTAACCAATCCGTGTTGCGATTCCTCGACACACTTATGAGTATGTCTATCTCTAAGCATTCCGAGTCAGATGGTTAGACAAAACAGTCAACCGCGTCTTCGACTGGATACTTCAAGAATACAGCCAATCTTTAAAGTTAGAGCGAATTTTTGTCGGTGGTGGAGTTTGCCATCAACAACTCCTTGCATGCGTCGAAAACGAAACCAA